CGGTCCCCGCTACCCACGACAGGGTTGTGCTTCCCCACAAGCAACTCTATGCACTCCTCCAATCTAGACATACTCTGAAATGACGAAAACTACCATGCAGCGAAGAGCAGTACCTGCGACACCTGCAATGTCTGCGGGTCGAACATGTGCTTGAGTAAGCTGACTTCACAGAATGGCCTTAGCGACGTATCGCTACTACCTGCAAGACTGCATACAGCTCTCGCGCAGATTCACCGTTCGTGCTAACCAATATCACTAATTATACTTTTCACTCCATCGTGAATCAGCTGGATAACTACTACCCCCATCATTATTACAGCCAGCCCCGAACTTATGAGCGTTCTCCATACCTCGAAAGACCGAAGCCATCAACTGATGCATGTCGGGATCCTGCGAACACGATGGTCACCCTCAGAGCTTACCCAGAAAAGCATTTCTGTACCAAAGTCAAGTTAGTAAATGTTACAACATACTACTCATACAAGTCCCAGCATTACTAGAATCATCGTTACCTGCATCATAGCGGCCATTGCCGACGGATCGAACGTCTCGGCCCACTCTGGCGACTTAGACAACTTGCTGGACTTTCCGGGCTCGCCACTTGCCTCTCTGAAGCATGGGTGATTGCCGAAGGACCAACGGCAACATAAACAATTCCAATTGCTAAATCAACGTTTCTACTTCACATTATCACCTTGCTCTCCTGATCTGGGGCGGTACCTCATCGCCTGAAATAGCAGTCGAAGACTTATCACCACTGAGGAGCTCCCGGTGCAAATCCCGGAGAGTCTGATATCCTTCTGTGACGGTTTCATTGACGTTAGCCACAGCAGTCTCCATGTTGCTGATCAGCTCGCGTACAGCCGACGGGTCTTGGAAAGCATCTATAGATGTCTTCAATATTTTTGGATCCTAAGCTGGACCAGTATCGCTCGCTAAAAAGTCCGAAAAATGACAACTACAAAAATCATCCTCTCCAATTCCGAATTCTCATCCATTAGAACCCTCATTTGTCGGTTCATGGAGATCTGCAAAAACGATGATGCCCCTACGCCATGCAATACAGCTATGCATTGCCAAGCTCCTCAGCATGTCCGGATTGTGCAACATCGTCTGCATCACCGGTGCAGTCAGCATTTGACCCAGCACCTTCGTGAACACTATCCTACCAAACAGATCAGGACATACTCATACATCAGGGTTTCTGAGCAAGTGTGATTGGAGGGCGCCGAGCTGGCCACCGAGCGAACCCCCCACTGAAACACTAAAGTACATACTCCATACTGTGACCATCATAATTGGCAGCAATTACCTGCATCAGCAGCTTTCTCCGTCCTCGGATTTTCCATAGAAGATAAAAACTAAATCACAAAGTGGACTCCCATGAGCCGATTTACAGCACATTCAACGCATAGCTCCAACAGTATAAAACTAGCCTCAACGGTAATGATAGTTGTTTTACAGTTGCACATCCCCAGTGCTATCGCCAACAAGTACTAGGCGACGTAAGCAAGTCACCACCGGTCCCCTTTCCTCGCCTCCATCTTCTTTTTGTCGACGATCACGAAATTGTTTTCTCGACCTGAAAAACTCAAAGTACAAAACTACATCAACAATAGCATGCGAGAGTAGGAACTGCTAGACACTGAATCTTCCTGAGACTTCCCACCGTACTAATTTGTCCGAACTACAACCTCATCGCCGAAGTTCTCTACATTTTGTCGAAGTAACAAATTTCCGTCCATTACATATTGTTCGACGAGAATGTCTCTCACAATAGTCATACAAATATTGATGAGATTAGAAGCTCTTCACCCACTGCACGCCCAAGCCGACTCACTTCGAAGGAACCCCGAGGAGCATGTCGTCAATGTCAGCGTGGCTCCAACAACAGGCTCCGCTACTGCACACCAGCCTTGCCATTGTATCTGGAGCAATGCCACTTCTATCTGACCACCAGCAGGAATTTCCTACCATTCCATCTGCAACTTTGAAGTCCTGGTTCTTATTCTTCATCATACAGTAATACCTGAGAGGTCCCCCTACATTGCACCCCATACCACTCCCTGGACAACTCAGAGGTCTCAGAGGATCACTACGTTATCAACGTCATCCCTTGCTTTTCCGGCTCGCCGGCATTAGCGTCAATACACATCTCCGTTTCTTGATTCCGAATAGCACTCCCAGGATTGTCATTCCACCGTTGCTTCCTGAGAATCGCATCAATGACATGAATTGCCAAATAGTGTGAGCGGAGCGAAGCTCATTTAGTCCTTTTCATTACTGATCCTTGTCATCACATGTCCTCAAGACCATCTTATCTCCATCACGACCGCCGGATGATACACATAAGCCAGACTTCTCGTCCTTGATAAGATACGCTTCAGATGGCAGCATGCCCTTCATCTCGAAGACCTACACAGCACATGCATAGTAACATATAACAGTCTCGGCTAAGCTACTGATAAGCAGGGAGCATAGTATTGTCTCTATCTACGTGGATGCCGTTCCTCCCACTTGTTTTTCTATACAGTTCTCGCAAAATTATCAATAAATGAGCATAATATCGACCAGGAATTTCCACGCAATGATCAGACATTTTCTGCCCTCCACCACATTCCCCAATACCAAGCCCGTGCAAGGACACTTTCAACGACCTCAAACACTGGAACTCTATCCCTACATTACTTTGTGGAATTTATCCACGAAGTACTGGAACGGCTTGCACTGCATATCCTTCTTGAATTGCAGACGATCCTCAATCCCATTCGCTAATGCCTTCTGTCGTAAACTCTCTGAACAGCAAAAATACTCACTCGCTCACAACTAACGAGTTTTGACCAGTCGTCTAATAAAGACTTCACTCTACGACGATCCATCTGGGTTCATGTGCTATCTAAAATCGCAAATCCGAATTCGTAAGTGTGAGCTCCCTTAAATTCTCCTATGATGACCTCGAAAGAGCAGAGCGAAAGCTAGAAGTTCGGTTTAGTTGGACCCAAAGTGCAGAATCGCTGAAGAATGCTCTCGAGCCCGCACGCAGTACTCGCGTAAGGATCCGCTGAATAGAAGTAATCCTTGTAGTCGTCGAACCAAACCTCGACAGTGCGAATCTTATTGTAGTAGACTTGGGTGTTGTCAATTTTGTACGGGAAACTCGGTCGGAAAACCTGATGGAAAAACTGAAAAACCCACGACGGGCAACCTGGAATGACGAGGCACTATTATCAGCACGCAAGCGCAGGGTACTGTGATGAAATACGGATCGCATTCCGACTGAATTCACATCTGCTATCCACCAGAATCAGATGGCAGTCAGCATAGACTGGTCACGAGCGGAATAAACTCAATAAATGAATTGGTCAGCCCTCCACTTCGTCGCGTTGTCTATGAGCCGTTCAGGGACGTATGTCCTGTAGTGTACAAAGCTAGCCAACGACAGACGCCCCGACCAAGTACCCCGATGCCCTCCGTTACTACATGAGCCACTCTCGAATCGCGAGCAACATATATCTCTCCACCGCACAGCCAGACTCGAATAGATTGTTCCTGAGATCATCAAGGAAATGCAAGGTAAAAGACAACCATAGTTTCACACACAAGAAAAATAAATACATGGCAGATTCTAAATAGCCGTTCGAAATCAGGCCGATCGAATGAAGTAAGGCAGCATCGTCCCAGGGCACCGGTATTACTATGTTCTCACCACCCCACATGAGCATGCCATTATCATACTCACCACTCTCATACCACCACCGCTTAGTGATACCCAGTAAACCACCAGACATAATAGGCACCTGATAGAGCCCGATACAGTCCCAAGTCTTAGGGGTATTACTACCAAGTCGTTGTCGTCTTCAAACCAGTTGAAGCCAAGCCCCCAGTCGAACATCATTTTACTCCCAGCGCTGTTATCATGGACCTACAGGGACGACCGACAGAGAACTCAAAGGTAAGTTCCATCACGCCTCACCAGCCAATCGTCGCCGTTAAGTACAGGAATGACCGGCACCACAACTCGCTTGTAATTGACGTTGGCATGCTTGATAAGCGGTTGTGCCCAGTTGCGGTCTGGCTTGACATGAGCATCAAGAAACACGACCTGATCATAAATCCCTTGGTTGGTGCAAACCCTAGGGCGTCGACTTTCTCACCATATCACCAGTGGCTGCATTGGCACCATCAGTCTTGCTTCTGATCAAGCCTTGACGGGTAGTGTGTCGAATTACCTTAACTTCAGGGAAGTTCTTCAAATACCTCCTCAATGGTGGCTCTGAAGCGTCGTCCACCACAATGATTTCCTTCAGTATGTCAGCTGGTGTCTCCGCGTATATAGACTCGCAAGTGCGCTCTATATACTTCTGCTCGTTATGGGCCGCCAGAACCACTGAGATGGTCTTGATCGTAGTTGGGTATTGGGAAGGATCGACAGGGGGGTGTTGACCATTCTCGTCCAGCGTAGTCTCGATGAGAATGCCATATTCCTCATCGGCAGCGGTGGGCACCTGGGCGTCAGGCCCTCTCAGAGCCTTGGGGTTGATGTCACCCGCCGAGACACCAGCGAGGGGATTGGCTATTACCCCCGAAGTGACCCATCCCTGGCGCGATAGAAAAACAACAACACAGAGTTGCAAAGCCCATACTGCGATGAGATAGACGGGAAAAGGTACGAACCTGGTCTTGTGACGAACCACGTCAAACAAAACGGAGGCCGCTGCAGCCACTACAGTCACCAGTACAAGTGCACTACTTCCGTAAATAAGAAGCGATACTAGAATTGGAGGTATGCATAGAAGGCCAACTCTGTAGTAAGCCGCCCGCCGAGCGCGAGGATTATGGGGCTTATGTGATGCCCGAGAAGAGGACTTCGGAGAGGCCATCTTGGGAAGAGACCCTGACAACGAATGGCGACTCAGAGGCCTCATTGTATAGGAGACTCTTCTTCGCGACTTCCTTCATGAAATGCTGTGAGACGCGACGTGAGCGAGTTATTGCGGAGCGTTAGCCCTCCGGAGATCCCGAGTTCAATTCCACCCGCCGACAGCTTTTTCATTAAAAAATTCCCCGCAACGCTCTATGCAAAATACCGAGTCACTCTCAGCTTTGCCTTATTCCCACAATGCGTTTCGTCGTTGGAGATGACACAGGCCTCGTGAAGGAAGTTCTCGGAGCTGAGCAGAAGCTCGGCCGGAAAATGGGCTCACAAGCCCTAGGTGAGGCCGTCACACACCTCGCATGGGTAGTATGGGGTGCGCCTGAAAGTTCTTATTTTCCTCTGCATTTGTGATGGGTCATTCGATAAGTGCGTCGGCATTAGCAGGATCAACTTTAACGGAGGCCCCTCAAAAACAGGCTCATGGTAGTCGAGGCTAATTGCTCTTAGGCATGTGCCGCGGGAGAGGAGACTCGATTCGCAGTGGTTCGATCATGCGGTCGAATCGAGCTTGTCGATAATACCATTGGGGATGCATGGACAGTGCTCAAGACGTGGCAGACCAGTGATGACGTCAAGACGACCTACTGGGAGGACGGCAAATTATCGGTACTGACATTCGGGCGGTGGAAGGCGTGGACAGCTTTCCTGACTTTCGTGGACGCATGCCTATCACGGTATCTTCCTCAGTTCATTAGCGGTGACGGTACGTGGCTCACTGTAGCGGATGATGGCAGTGAAGGAGAGTCTGCTCAGTCATCAAGGAGTTCCCTGAGCTCAGCTGTCAAGGTGTGTATCTCGTGTGCCTCTGTTTTCGAGTGCAGATTGTATGTACTCAGGTCTGCGCTGTACGTCCTGGTAGTGACCACAAGCATGTGATGATGGTTTCCTCGGAGGGCGCGAATCCAAGGTTGACGGATCGAGAGGGCAAGACGCTGTGGCGAGGAAGAAACGTCCAGGATTCAAAATACGATCTGAAGGTCATATTCTGGCCATAGCACCGGTCGCCCGCGCTGTCATTAGCTCTACTGTATATATTAATCGGAGCCCTCAAACGGTTCTTCTCGTTCACGGAACAAGGACGGACTTATTGATGGCCCAGCCGTGTTGTATAGGTCGAGTTCGACGTCACGGCAATCGAGTGGCTGAGTCCAGAGTGTGTGGTTATGGCGGATACCCAAGGGAAAATCAGAGTCTATGCAGTGAAGGAGGGAGAAGGGTAATCATCTTATCGGAAATCTCTGAGGCCGCTTTCGTTGATCGGAAATGTGATATTTTGGAAATTCATCTCTGCACGGTGATGTCGCGGTCGGGTTGAAGGCTGCCGCATCTGACTTCGTCCAGGGCCCGTCGGCGTCCACTGCTTGAGCTGCCGTTGACCTTTGTTACGGAGATGTCTAGTCATGCTACGGGACAATCGATTACCAAGTGAGTAGCCGCTAATGCACTACACTGCTATCATCGTCTATGTAGGGGCCGACCGGTTACTCGTATGCACCATGATCCGTCGACCGAGCTGCTCTATGTCGGTGACACTGTCGGCACGCTGATGGCTCTGAGCACGAAAAAGATTCTGGAGTTGGTGTCTCGCGACGAGATAGAGACGCCCGAGGGTGCCGGGAAAGGTGGGTTCGTAGGAAATGCCTCGGCCTTGCATCTATAGCGTTACGGTCTTCATCTCGTGGAAGGACTTCTTGAGCGCTTCTACTCGGAGATTTCCCATCAGTTTTGTGATTTGTAATAGAAAATTCGTCGCTCGACTGCAGTATGGTTTCTGTCCATTTACTTGTATTTGTCGTCCCTGAGCTGTTCTCTCCTCAGCTGGCAGGATGGCCCATCTAAAGTATGCCAAGTCGATGCTGCCGTTTGTCCGGGGGTTATCAGGAGTCATGGGTTCAATCCGCGGCATTGTTACTTTGGGAGATCTCATATTCGTTTGTGGTCTTGGGCGGTTCGCCTATGTGTACCGCGGCAAGCGACAAGTGTGCAAGGTCTACCTCAAGCAGAAGCTCACGGCCATCCTACCACTCCAATCTGCTGATGTTCCAACTGATGATGGTAAGCAGTTGCTTTCTGATTACCGACGGAAGGATCGTTTTGCAGGAATTATGTGTCGTATATTTCTCATCGTCGTCCCTGATGACGATCAATTTTTCCTATTCCTGATTTTTTTATTCACATTATCCTCTTTTTTACACAGATTTACATTGCAAAGTTCGTTTGTATTCAGACGACCAATCTGATGATGGCGAGGAGGGTAGCGGCTCGTCAGACGGAGAGGTTGTTGACGATGGAGAAGATGAAGATGAAGACGGGCTGGATGAGCTCGATGAAAGTGACGGCTCGAGTGAGGGAGACTTCGGTGACTTTGATGAGGACGACGTAGAGGAGCCACAGTCCACTCAAGAGGGCAGAAAGCGGAAACAGAATTCTCCTGAAGGTGACTACTTTATCGAGTAGATTAGCTTCTCACCATCTATCGTACCATTCGCAGGCCCTAGCAAGCACCATAAGCGATGAAGACCGCACGCAAACTGTGTCGGTATGAGCTTTACCAATACGTCAAGTTTCCCATTCATATTATGGTCATGCGTTAATTAGTGTCGGCAGACTGGTAACAAGTGCCCAACAGTCAAAACTATTCGAGGGAATAGTAGACAATGAAGAATACTTGCTATTCATTGATATAAAATCAACACGTTCTTGAATGAGACCGAAATGAAAACGAGGAGACAGTGATGATGCTACCAGATATAACAGTGGTATGATAGTACAGTAGGTGAGTACAAGGAATCATCCCCGAGGCCTATGCTTTGCATTCCCGCCTCGATGGTTATTCTTCGCCGTGTGCCCTGGCGGCAGCGCTGACTTCTTCTGATGCCCATCATCATTCTTCGGCTTCTGTCGATTGTTGTTCGGACCACGGAGAGGAGCGTTGTGGTTGCCGTATATAAGCCCAGCATGTGAAGCTGCATCCTTGGGGAAGCCAACAATCTCCAGCTCAGCCTCATAGTCCAGCAGCTGCTCGCCCTTGATGGCTCGAGTCATCCTCGACCGAGTCCTGCGGATGAGCTCCTTGGTAGGATCCAATACGTCACCACCATCAGCCAAGTCCTTGGCGAGTCCGCCCATGGCTTGCTGGAAATGTTTACGTAGTCTTAGGAGCTCCTGAGTGCGGAGATTACCACCAAATGCCTTGCGACTGTCAACAAAGATGTCAACAAATATCATACTTCCTTCTCGGCGTTTGTACGTGAGCTCAACAGAAGTACCGAGGATGAAAGTGACAGTGTTGATCGGGCAGATGAGCTTAGCGATGCACCTAGGAGCCGGCTGATTCGGAGGCCAAACATCGAGTCGATGCGTATACAGAACCATTTGCCCCGGCACAACTCGAGCATTTGCCGTACCGATCGAGGACCAGCTTCCGCAATTGAGCGTCTTGTGGTCGACGTCGATAGCCACTTTCCGCTTCATACTCACTTGACCATAGTTGGGACCACATAGAACCGCCAACACACATTCAAGCGTGTACATATGCTCACCAATCGCCGAGAAAGGAGATCGGCCGCCCGGTACGAAGTCGGCAGCCGGCTCAGTCGCTGCTAAACCTCGATCGCAAAGAATATCGAGCATGGCGTTACGATCCTGCCACACTCTCTCGAAACTGGAGTGCTTGAGATCTCGTCGCTTGCAGTACTCCTTCGCGCTCCTAACCCCCCGATCGAACCATACCTGCTCCCACTCGAGATAGAAGCGCAATAGATCAAGCTGATCAGGCAACGGTGTGGTGATTTGGCCTTCAGCGGGCCAGAGTTCTCGGTATCCCATACGGTGAAGTGAAGCTGGATCGACTTTCTTCGGGTTGTCGATGTCCCCAGGCCGCTGAGTGTTCGCCTCGATGTCTTCCATCTCCAGAAGAGCACATAGGGAGACACTGATGTAGATGCCTTCAGCAGAGTCGAACAGTATGGAGCTGGCAATCAGACCTAGGGCAGTGTAGACGCCAACAGGGAACCGTGACAAGGTTCGACCGAGCTCCGTCAATAGACCAGACTTCTTATCGACAGCACCCACCGCGAGGAGCTGCGAGACAGCCAGACGGACGGCTTCCTGCTTGGGCGGATCAGGCATGGCCTTGCAAAAGCCTGGCAACCACTTGAGAGCATCACCTCGACCCAAAGTGAGCAGATTGAGAGCAATGTCAATCATCGGCATGCGGGTCATCTCAGGATCTGGGTTCATAGCCAAACCGACTTTGAACCGGATCTTCGGGATGAGGTGAAAGCAGATACCCTCATGGGTTCTCCCCGCACGGCCACGCCGTTGAATGCAGTTGGAGCGCCCAGTCCAACACACTTCCAAACGTGTCGGAGTGGTCTTGACCTTCTGCTTGCAGCAGTCTATGACGTAGGTGAGATCCGGGACCGTGAGAGAAGTCTCCGCGATGTTGGTGCCGATGACACATTTGATCTTACGCCGGTCGGTATTGACCTTGAAGACATCGTTGGTGTACTGCTCAGCGGTCTTGGAGTGCAAAGGGATGAAGTTGAACCGTCTCTTGAAGAGAGCCTGCTCTGACGACACTTCAGTCACATAGTGGATAAGCTTATTGATGCTTCCCAAACCGGGAAGGAAGATCAACACAGCGCCACCCTCGCTCGGATTGTAACTCTCTTGAGCCTCTATGTAGAGCAAGAGTTGCTCAATCACCTGCGTGGGCAGTACGGTGAGATCGAACTCCTCCGCAGCAGCCTTCGACCAAAAATCTTCGGCATTACGATCCAACTTAGCCTCCGGTATTTTCTCTTCGCAAGGCATTCTCTCCGACCTCATACTGTCGCCGATATCAACAAAATCATCAGCATCCTTGTCATCTGGTGCCCAGTCAAGGATCTGGAAAACGTCCTCAAGATAGTAGTCTTTGACCTCGTAATTGGTATCCGGAATCGCCACCAAATTGACCTCTTTCTGAATGAGTTTGTGACCAAAATAGCTCATAAACTGGCGAACATTGGCAGTGGCAGACATCAGAATAACTTTTATGCCTGTATCCTTCAGCAGCGATGTCTTCACCAATGTCAATAACACGTCCATCTCCTTAGTCCGTTCATGAACCTCATCCAGAATGAGATGGGACACGCCAGAGAGCAACGGGTTCTCGGACATTCGCGCCAACAGAGTACCCTCAGTACAGTACAATATCGAACCGCTGTCCACACTACTCGGTAGGCTCGTGTTGTTCCTTACACTGTAACCAACAGGTCCAGTGCTGTCCCACTTGCGCTCGGTACGGACTCTCTGAGCCACACTGATAGCCGCAACCTGCCTAGGCTGCGTCACAGCGATATTCACAACTTGACCCTTGGACCTGGCTTCGTCCAGAATCATCTGAGGGATCTGAGTCGTCTTACCACTGCCGGTAGCTCCGGTGACCAGGACGACATTACGAGCATTCAAAGCCTCGATCAACTTCTCTTTAACAGAGTAAGCAGGTAGGTCCGCGCCCGCTCTGTTCTTCGGCGGCGCTGGGAGATGCCGGATGGACTGTCCATGTCGGCGACGGGAGATCCGAGTACCGCGCCAGGGGTCAAACGAGGACGAAGGCGGCTGCCAAGTGCGTTCGGGCTTGCTCTCATCGGAGGCCGACGAAGTAGTGGCAGAAACATCTTCTCTAGTCGATTCCGTCATGGGACTCAGGGAATTGAAACCTAAGAAAATCCACACAATTCCGCAGAACAAGATAGTTGGCCAGAACTCAGAAGGGCTCTGGCTCAGAGCTTTGAGAGGCTCTTGAACCGAAAGCTCATCGAAACGTACTCTACAGCGGATATAAAGATGAACCACATTAATTGATTGCAAATTGAATAAAAATCGACGTTGGACGATCATCTCAAAAGTGTCCTCCTTCGTAAGGGGAGGGATCGAGAACAATAGCTCTGAGTCGAGTTGTAGGAAGTTCATACTATGAGTCCCAAAGAAAAAATAGCTCTCATCCTCTAAGTGTGACTTTTATCGCTCACGAGTTCCCGTTACGAGCAACAACACAAATGACGTTAGTGTGGTTCGAACCCGGGTGACCCCCTTCTACTTTTTCACGCGCCACTTTTTTAATTCGCCCGCCACTTTTTTGGCAATTTTTTTGAGATTATCAACAGAGTCGTGTTGGTATGTACGGTAACGAAGAAGTTGACTATGGTGATGATGACAGTATTTCATCCTCTTGGGATGATACTGCTCAAGCGTCGGACAGTCATCTCTTTCAAAGACGAGGCCTTGCGTACTCCCACGTGTTTCACATATTCTCTGGTTATGGTTTCGTCATCATTTGCACTGACCTCATCAATCTCGATTCAGAATTAAAAGAACAAATTTGACGAAAGAAATTTGATTTTCGACAAGTGAAAGGAGTTTTTCACGAAATAAGAGTTCAAATTCGAAGGAAAGTTCGATTAACGTAGACCGGCCGAAAATAATGTTCAAATTCGTAAATGAAATTTATGGATTCGGAAACGCAAGTTCAAATTCGTCGAACACAAGACCGATTTCGGCCAATGAAAGCTCACTTTCACCAAACTCATCCGGAAATACTGAGAAGGACTCGCAGCTAGTATAGCACGAGTCCCCCTTCGTACCAACGAGATGTCAGCGCATCAGATCGTCAGCGTCATTCCTCACAAATTGTTGAGATTCTCAGCTTGAGTATAGCTCCACCGTTCCGGCGGTGCTGTAGGCCAGCTGACACCACTTGGGCTCGGAGTCCGAGCCTCGGATGCACGCCGTGCGCATCCTGATGCGGAAAACGGCATCACTTGAAGGTAGCCGTCAGAATGCGTATGTATCGGTCTTGAAATGTTGAAGAATAGGCCTTTGGGGGGCGCTGAATCTAACGGTGAGGCCAACGTTGGAGGAACCGACAGTTATAGACTCGCACTTGCGAACTGGCGAGGAGAAGGGTGCATTTACAGACTACTATTCGTCACAAGGGAGTGATTGAAATGATTTTTATTTTACTAGATCTGAACTGCCACTAGTAGAAGACTCGCCGCGGAGCGAGACGCATCCTTCAAATTTTAAACTTCAGCAAGAGTTGTTTTGGACACCACTAGCATTAATTCGGTTCTTCTGGGCATCACATTTACATACACCTTGTATGCCAATTTAAGATAGCAAACGCGGAACAAAATCGACCAGGGTAATTCACACATCATGCCACCCAACAAAAACGCCATGCCAAGCTCGGTACTGCACTCGCTCCGACGGAGACAGTTGTCCTTCGATGATACACCCAAAATCACACGGGCGAAATCGCGCATGATACCAAGACTGGTAGCCTGGGCATCACTCCACCGAATGTCTTTTGGTGCCTGTGTATTCATGTAGGCATCGTCGCTTGTTGACCAGTATGGGTGGTACGTCTTCATGACGTTCTTCTGATGCCGTCGATACTTACCCGGCGTGGAATTGACATCATCCAAGGCACCAAAACGAACCCTAGATTTTATGGCCGTCCACAAGTCCAACTGAGGCTGAAGCTTCGGACCATCTATAACCACACCGACGGCCTCATGCGCAGGAAGACGATCAAGAATGCGCGGAACCTCAACCATCGCATCGCCGTTTATCAGCTCGATGTCGGGGGCGATCTCACGCAGGGCATCCTCGACCTCTTGAATGGGGTCAAACTCAACGCTAATGACATGGAAGCCAAGCTGGTGGTAAGCCAAAGCAGAAGCGCCTCCACGTCGCCCCGATTCGATGATTGTGGTAACGTTCAAGGCTTCGGCTAGGGCAGCGACCGGTAGCAGTTTGAGAGGAGGCGTGTTTCCCCAGAGGCATGATCCACCTGGTGCAGACGCCTCGTACTTGAAACCATACGAGGTCTTGACCAAGTCCCTGTTGCACCCATCAGTGACGAACTTGAACCCGCCCTGGTATAGATAAGAAGCGCTAGCATGAGCTTTGTCAACGATGTCGCGCATGAACACACCGAAACGACTATTCTGATGCTTATAGTCGCCGTCCGCGGAGCACACACCGTCAAGGCGACCACCGTAGCTAGGCCTATGAGGAGTGCTCCCGGACAGTCCTTGTCGATACTTGGGCAGATTGTGAGTTAGGCGAGCTGCCAATATCACAAACAAGAGTACCAATAGTAGAGGCAGAATCCAACGGCTTAGTCCAGGTAGTCCAAATCCCATAGTTATACGCCAACAAGTGACTAATAAACCCGAGAGTTTCCTGCCACTGGCTCAACTAGAATGAGCAGAGGAGCTAGGTTTCATGAGGCCGAAAGATAACCCAGGCGACAGCATATAGATGACCCCCTTCCATCGCTCAGACGTGATGGTTTGAACGTGACAGAGAATTAGAGCCATGCGACCCGCTATCGAAAAGGAAGAGTTGAATGCAACCATCTAGCTGAACGCTAACGTACATAAGGTCGCGATCTTGGATATGAACGTGGATATTCTCGTCAAAAAGAAGCAAGGTCGACAATTCTTCAAATGCGAAGTGACTTGTCAAACGCATGTCAAAGCGCATGAACAGTAGAGTAAGTTCCTAATTAAGGTTTCTCGTCGAGTCAAGCGCGATGCTAGAAGCTTAAAGCGGCCCGGATGATACTCGCCCTTTTGATTTCCTGAACAACACATGCTTGATCGTGCTACGAACTAGGAGCGCCCGGAAACAACAAATCACAACATATTTCGCAACGGCGCGACTAGAGGGATGAATATGATGCTGACTAACACAATTCGAACCGATACAATGCTTTGAAACTTGGTGTACGCAGTGTGTCTCTTGCGGCCAGCTCTTCAATAACAAGTCAGTACCGTAAACCCGATGGCTATCTTAGAGCAGATACGGAATGAGAATCTTGCGGTTCTTCGGGTACAACTCCCGGCCATCCTTACCGTCGAACTCGCGACGATAGTTACGATGCTTCTTGAGGGCCCACACCCACATCTGCCCGGCTCCGGCAAGCATGTAGGCAATACCCATCACAGTTTGAGTCATCATATTGAACCCGAACCATGAAAGGATCTCGAACATATAGTTGGGGCAACTGACCAACTCGAAAGCGAAGCCGTGGGGAACCTTGCGGACCCGAGAGCCCTTCGGACGAAGGTCTCTCAGAATCGCATGGCATCGGTAGTTGCTGATCTCGCATACGGCGAAAATGGCTAAGCCGAGAATGCGCTGCCACTGCTGAGCTGCGGGTGTGTACAGCGGATGACAAACGAAGTAGCCGACCAAAAGAGCGAAGCCCCAGTAGTATGCGCAGTTCTTAAAGAGGTTTCGGATCGGCATGGTGCCGTTCGAAAAGCGGTGCACGAAAAGAGTTTCGTATTCACGCTTGAGGAAGTGCAGGAACCAACACACACTGGCAACCAGTTGAGCTTCGCGCACGCTAACAGTAGGGGCAGCCACGAAGTGTCTGAGCGCTTCCTGGAAGCTAGGATGACCTCCTGGAGAAACCGCGCCGTAGACGTGTTTCTGTCCATAGTAGAGAATGGGGAAAATGACCATTGGACCGAAGTACTCAATGAAAAACACCAGTCTCCATGAGATCTGAGGGGAAGCAACAACTGGAATCTCGCTATCGATCGATAGAAGCTTACCTGTGGGCCTAGGTCCTTGAATACGATCACGTCACCGTCAGCAAGGCCATAACTAGAGAGGGTTGCACTGTCATCAGTAAGAGCAACAGGCTTCGACCCCTTCTTCGCTGAATCGGCGGACAATGGCAGGGTTAGCCTGAGCGATGAACAGACGACATGGTACATTTTCCTAAGCACCCGTGACCAACCTCTGCCGCGCCTCGGACGTCTTCATAGCACTCTCAATTCCCTGCTTCAACTCAGCCACCGTCGCGGCATCCCCGGATACCGTGATAACGGCGAGCTCCTTGCCTCTTCTATTCTGCACAGTTACCTTCATCTCGATAATTCAGGTAGCGATGAAGCGAGCACTCACTCGAACGCGATTTAAAACGCGCACGCCATACTAATCGATTTGTATCAACCTATGCAAGTCCTACTAGTGACCGAACAGCTCTGGTTCCCGCCATGTATAGCCTCACGGAGGAGGAAGAGTTTGATAATGTCGTGATTGTTTTTCGGTTTTAAAGGTGGCAGAAAATTGTAGTTGTGTTTTGGAGTATTGACAATGGCTAGCGACGAGTCTAAGAAGAAATTAGCAGAAGCCAGTGCGCAGCAGTGAGCAGTCATTCAATGCGCATGTCCTATACACTGTTTCTTACAGGTTGAAGACTGATACCGTGTGCAAGTGCTGCCACAAACAGGAGGCAGAATTCGGTAGTAGCTGAAAGTCAAAAACCGACCTACTCTGTATCTTGCATGCCTCAACCTAAGATTCCTCCGGTTCCTCTAGGTCCCAGTACCTGCGGTCATATCTTCGCCTGCAAGCGTTGTGCTATGAAGATTGCCACTGGCGGGAAATGCAAAGTTTGCGGCGAACTATTTGCTGATATCGTCCGCGCTTAATCCAGCTTTCGTTCGCCTCTCTCCGAGCTGTGTTGAGATTCAACGCTGATGCCCCTCTTTCCACTAGTTGTTATTCGACCGGTTATGGCAAGTGCATTTCAATCGGCATTCGCTGGTCTCAAGAAATACACGAAGAAAATGTAATAGTGGAGGATCCATTTCATCGGGAAATTCTAAGTGCAAGTCGGCTGACCAAGGACTGTATCGCTCTCGTTTGCAGAACTCATACGGAGACTCCTCTGGAGAAAAACCTTCGGGAAGCGACATCCAATGAGAATTGGGGCGTGGCCAACTCCGTATTGATCGACATTGCCAGATGCACTCATGACTTGTAATACGGTGGGAGAGCATTCAGGTATTCGATGGTCTCAATACTCTGGTTAAAGATCATCCGAAAACTGCCCCTGCTAACTGGTTTCACTGGCAGTGAAATGACATGATATTAACTTTCATTCATTTTATCACGACGTTCCCCTCAGCAACGACTATTATCTGATAATGTCGACAGTTTGGTCGGCCATTGGTGATAAGAAAGAGAAATGGAGGAGGATATTCAAGGGGCTCAACTTGCTGGACTATCTCCTTAAATTTGGGTCTGAGCGTGTTGGTAAGATCGGACTAAAATCAATAATCCTATGGACTCCGCATGGTTCACGTGTTGCTGAATTATCTGTATCGCTCCATAGGGCGTAGTTGCATTCGCCAAAGGAAAATGGATTCAACCCATCCACGTGTGGAATACTTCAGCTTTAGAACGTATGCTCAGTAGTTAAGACTTTGCCCTTTAGTAAAAGAGGATGAATTTGTTGTTTCGTAATGATTGAGCACAGAGGCTACAGTTGCCAATATAGCAGCACCGACGACTATTTCCTTAATATCAGTCGACGAGACGCGCGACGGCCTTCATCGGATAAGAGCTTTGCAAGACTTCCAATACACTGAGGAAGGTCGGGATAAGGGTGCCGGCATTAGGTAGTATCGTTTTCTCTTCTTTTTTTTCATTAGTTGTCTTTCATGGCAGAGAGAAGTCCCGAGAGATCGTCGGACTGGTGAACAACCCTTCCCAACTGAGGATGGAGCGGGACAAGGCTCGACAAGGTCGTGACAAGTACATCGGCATCGGCAGCTCCGGGCAGACCGTTACAACAGCTGTGGGTGCGCCTCCTCCGGGGATGGGGTAGGATGACGGTCGGTTAACGGCGGCTGATGGTGTGAGTCTAGATACGACAGTGGTGTTGGTAGTGCGCAGTATGCGGCGCGGGAAGGTGGCAGTAACCCAACAGTGTTGACAGCAACTGTTGTTAATGGACCAAGGCATTTGCCAGAAAATAGCAAGTTGGAGGAACTGAGAAAACAGGTACTCGAGGGCTTAGGAAAATCTGATGTCTTGCCTTCTGGTCGAACTGTAAGTTTTGCTGAGAGGGGCTACACACTTTATACAGGATCGTGAAAGGCAGCGACAGCGGGCTATGGCTGATGACGAGGCAGCACGGAAGCGTCGGGAAGAAGAGCAGCGCATTCGAAGGCAACAGGAACAACAGCGGCAGTTGGAGCAGCAGCGGCAGGTGGGATATTCTTCTGAGCCTCAGTAGTGAACTGATCGATATGTCAGGCCGCCGCCGCCGAGGAGTCAGATGACGAGTCCAGCTCAGAGTCGTCCTCCTCTTCCGAGGAAGAATCACCAGTCGTTCGCCAGCCAGCTCGACGTCCGCCTCCTCCGCAACAACGGTACTCATACTCGCAGCTTGTTTGAACAGTGTATGTTCACCATAGGCGTCCTATGCCGCCCCCTCGGCCACGACAACAACAGCCACAACAGCAATCGGTCGATCTGCTCAATATGAATGCAAGGCCCGCCCAACAGCAGCAGCAGCAGCCAATGCCCTACCAAGGGGCGCCGCAGGTCCAAGCTGGTACAGGTGCTTATCCAGGTAATGCGGAGGAATATTGGTGTCGGGTTATGGCGCGTTATTTCCAGGCCAGCAGCAGGGCTATGGTTACACAGGCTACTATGGTCAGCAGCCAGGGTATGCCCAGCCATCCATGGGGAGTATGCCGATGCCACAACAACAATACCAACCCTATCAGCAGCAACAACAACAGCAGCAAGCTGCGCCGCCCAATCCATTCGCAGGCTACCCACAGCAGAACAGTAACCCCTTTGCGCCGTATCAAGGCTCTGGAGGAATGCAGCAATTTCGAGGTCTCTGAAGTGTGCTGGGAATCACCAGTGAACTTGTTACTTACCCTCTATATTGCCACTTCGCGCTTGTTGTCTGCTGCGTGTAGTACTTGTACGGTTATTGCTGAGGTCTGGCATAGTCATCATATCAGTTTTCTTAACGCTGCTTTGCTCATTGGGTTACAGTACACCACGAGACAGACCTGTAACTTTCTGAGTAGCACCGAGAGCAGCCATTTCGGCGATGCACTCCACCGTGGCACAATTCCGGGCTCTGGAAACCATCATTTAGTAGTGGCTGCCTGGACACTCCATTGGGTGTTTGTCCAGCATTTCGGGAACCTTAGTTTCGAACGTTGTACTGAACATGGCAGCTGAGATAGCAGCATCAGCGCGCATGATGCCAGGCGAATCGAACTCGGCCCTCGCAGTGACAGTCACTGATTGGAATGTATTTCCGCACAACGTCGTGACGATGGATAGCAATTCCGCATCATAGATAGAGCGACCCACCACTGAGGAAGTTCGAGATTATGCCCTATGGCTTGGACTCACGGACGACGACCACGACCTGTTTTGGATCGCCGTGCAAGTGCTAGTTCTGATCCTGTAGCGAATCTCCACGTCTCGCGAGCCAGGCTCTCACCACACCTATACCGAAGCCATGGGTCCAGTGCCAGACCGACTCTGGTGATGTATTTTTCCACAACTCGAAAACGAAAGAAAGCGTCTGGGACCACCCGTAGAGTGGACTGCTGTTGTCTTCGGCATCCGTAATAGCTAGGTATGACAGTTTCTATCAGCAGGCAGTTGGTGAATACAAGGAGGGGAAATACGATCGCAAGAAGCTGGTGAGCTCACAGGTTTCACCTTAGCTATCTGGTCGGGAGTGTAGACCGATATTCGAAACAGATGAAGGTTGACAAAGAAATTTGAAGTTGCGAAAGTCTTGCTGCTAAACGAATTATACGCGAGTACAAGATACGAATACCAATGAGCTTGGAATAGGAAAGACATGACAGGCTGAACTGGATGATCGCCTTCAGGCTGAGCTCCTATCAGAATCATGGTTGCTAGGCAACCGCAAATCAGCGGCGAAATCTGATCTAAACTACGAGGACAACGATGGTATTAAATTGATAGCTTATTTGCACTCATAGTGCTGTCACCGATGTGATGATCTGTTGTAGAGGAGGCTACGCCTGGCAGTTCACCTCTCAATACAGCAAAGGGCAAGGGAAGCGAGGAGAGGTGAATTCTGGCTCGATTGTGACAGCTAAGGATAGAACTGCATGTTAACAGAATGAGGTCTGTCTTGGCCAGAGCTGAACACGCCGTCGTGTCTAGCAGCGACAGTGAAACTGAACAGTCACCGAGGTATTTCGTCCCGCCCACAGCTAGACCGCCGAGTGGCCCACTCAGGTCTGGCGCTGGTGAGGAACGATCACGAGCAAATGCCGAGCGAAGGAACACAAACGTGAAGGAGTCTGCTACTGTGAATTCCATTGCTCTGTTGAGATTCCACGAGATTGCATTGTAAGGTGTTCACGGAGGTTGAGGAACTTAAAGGCGAAATGCACAGACTTAAACTGAAGCTAGCAGAAGTCAGAGAGAAGAAGGCAGGTGCGAGCACTCCTCTTAACTGATGGAATGGTCCCGTATTGAAGAGTGCTTCAAAACTCGTGGTCACGCCTTTCCTGCCTGGGCTAGGGTTCAGGAGTGATATTGCTCTCATTGTTCGAAGCAGCATATGAACACTCCATCTTTGAAAAATTATTCCATCTCGGAATAGACACACTTTTATTCCCAGAAGTCGACAGGGAAGCTTCTGAGCTTATAAATGCTCACCAGCGCAAGATCGAAGCGGCGAAGGATATTGAAGATGAGGTGGAGAAGACCAAGGAGGCTCTCTCGCAGATTAAAGACGATATTAAAACGACTTCTAAGGTGGAGCTGATACAGTTCGTCCACGACTTTTCTCAGACAACGCATTCAGTTTAATCGAGAAATTTATTTCGTTCGACTAGATAATTCTCGTTACGGTTTAAACTGACTCACTAGCTCGGTGGTCTTATCGGACGTTAACTCGTCAGACACGTGAAGGCTTGGAGACAGACATGGCGACGAAGGAGACAGAGTGGGAGGCTAAGATAGCATCTCTGAAGGTTGCTCTAGAGCGGGGGAAAGAAGAGGTGGTCTTACTGAAGTTAGCGATGGATGCACATGTAAGGGAGAATTAAAATTGTATCCCTGCATCGGAGATTCTCAGAGAAGAGAACACGCAGCTCTCCGCTCGAGATTCGCGGAAGCTCGAGCTCTCATCGCCGCACTGGCGGGAGTGGAGGCTTCTACGAGAGACTCGATTCTTGAGAAGGCAACTCAAACGAAAGATGTATTGGAAGAGATTGCCAGGTCGAGCTCCACTGCTGTTCGTGCGAATCGGATGTTTGCTTTACAGAGTGCGTAGCATGCTCAAGGCTGAGAGGGGTCGGTCGGGGTTCGGCCGAGTTTGTGCTGGCAAAGCGCCAGGAGTCGCTAACGACGCAATTAAGACTACTGAGGCGACCGTCTTGTCCACGCAAAGACACAGGTGAGTTCGCACTGGGATCACATCTCTAGCTGGTTATTTCAGGTACTGGGACGACTTGCTGGGAAGTGATCTGGCGCTACCATCTTCATCGCATGTCGATCTGCCCAAGGCAAGGGATTCCTGTCAAGATTCCGGTGTTGAAACTACATCAGCACATCCGTCGCCAATATCGTTGAGAGAAAAACGAGAGTTCCCCGAATTGACAGAAGTCATGACATTCGGAGAAGAACCCGCAACGAGCTCGGAGGAAAACTCTTGGTGAACATGATGCGAACACGTGGGGTGTCGAACACGAGAATTGTGTTTCAAGTGGATTTCTGAGGGTTTCATTTGTCGAAGTCTCCTACACAGAGGCGTATAAGTTTGAATTGGTTGGCTTTTATTCACGAAGGTTTTCGTGAGGGTTCGAAGCATGATGTTTCAAATGCATACTTCTGCAATGCTAATGTCGTATAATTATCAGACGCGACATTTTTCAACGTCTTTGAGCGTAATCTTGACTCAATAACGCAATAGAGGCATCAAGCGGGCCCAATCTTCAGAAGTGCCTGCTGCATTACTCTCCCCCATGATGAAGATCTCTCTCAGTTCTTGGCAGTATTGGAGTGTTACAACTCTTGACAGCAACTCAATATTAAGGAATCAGGAATAATAGGAAACTACTTTCTTGATAACGTCAAACTAATACAGCCACGGTGATACCGGGGACAACTTGGGCAGCGCGGAGCGTCATGCGATTCGGACGATTATGTGGATTCCCGAGGGAGAGTAGACCTGGTAACACATAAAGTAGAGGCGAATAACGACATAGTTGACAGCAACAGTACGAGTCGACTTACTAGATCACTCATTTCTCCGACGTCTAACGCGAAGGCTGCCTCCTCGAACTCAGCCATCATCTTGCCGTGACCGAACCAGTCCAAGTCGCCACAAAGATTCCCGGCCTTCCGACTCGACAAACCTAACGTTGTCGCAATAACATAAGTCACGCAGAGAAGGTGTATTCCTTACACTCGGAATGCTTCTTGCAGAGTTCTGGGAACTTGCTTGAGTCCTTCTTGAGATCAGCAAGGATGGACATCATAGTGTTCTCGGCCTCCGTCTTTGCTGAGTGAATGAAAAGATACATCATAAAATAATCTAGCCTGCACTAGTCTATGAATTGAGAGTTTCTCGTATGCACATCTACATGCCGATACACAGAGCTCTGCTACGATGTTCACAAGCAAAGGGAACTCCTCCTCATCTACTTACTTCTTGTAACCTGCTTATTCCGGACACGATCACGCGGATTCCTAACATCCTTGTGCTTCATCAAAATATGTTTGCAACGTATCTTCTTCACTTCTCTCGCAGGGCCTGTTCCTAAAAATAGGCGAACGTTTTCACGCACCGACGCAAACAGCGAAAACACCCTTACGCTGCCGCTTGGCCGCCTTGGGCGAGCTCGGATCCTCAAGCGCCTTCGCTTGCTGCTCAGCGAGAAGATCCAGATCCCCAAAAGTCGGTGGTCGCGGCCAATTCAAGAAAACGGTAATAGCAGTCAAATTATCTTGAGAACCTCGTTGGTATCTGCCGAGTAGAATATTCCTCAATTCCACCGAACCAACTTGTGTGAACATGGCCATTAAGATGAAGGCCAAGTGCCATAGTTCAATACTGCTGATTTTAAACTGCAAGCCTCTCGATCTCGTACGCCTCTTGAATGAGTCCTCCTGACGCCGCCTTAGGTTTCCGATTGTACTGCAGTATCTTGGCGCCAATCATCGCTGGTGTCATCACATCTGTAACGCCGTCGCATACGAGAACCTGCGTTAAAAGTCTTCTTTCCTAGAAGCCCTGTCCAGCACGTACAAGCGCAATATCAGTTTCTGGGCTCAGTGTGTAATGGTTGACGCTGGGCTCCGACACCACGAGCTTGTTAGGCGTCTTGAACTCTCGGTCACCAAATGCACGCGATACCGCCAAGGCAATCTGGAGCGAGTATCCTCACTAGAACAAATGCGACCACGGACCCTACCGGTGGCTTCTCCATCGCTCCTAGACCGGCATTGGTAGCCTTCTTGTATGCTTTCATTTTATCTTCGTAGTCTGCCGCGGCTACCCTCACCTGATAAATTACAATCCAGTCACAGTAGCGAACGAAGTAGAAGAGAATTTCGTTTCATTAGTTTCTGATGCTAGGAGATATGCGGTGTTCCTAAATAGAGTCCAAGACGAGCTATACACAAACTTCACGCGATTTTTCGATGCGAGCTTTAGCCCTATTCAATGCAGGATCAACCATCTCCTTACCACGCCACCAGCTGGTGTCACCATCGCTCCGCCATTTTTGACTATGCGCTCCTTCTCTGAACCAAGGAGGGATCACGACGGCCCATGAGCCCCTCTGTCACGACCCACCGGCTTGATCTTCCGGTTTGTGGTTAGTGTGACACGACTTCACTTCCAATTTATAGTTTGGATGCCGCCCTTGCTGCTGCTGCTGATGATGGTGATCATTTCCCGCAGAAGCTGAAGAGATGACACAGTAAATTCTAAGTATCGGACCCCCGCCCTCAAAGAGTACGACAAACCCAGGTCTCCCCTATTGTCACTTACTTTGCACTGGAATGCGTTGCACCAGGAAGCATGCTGAATCGCCGATATTAGCGACGTACAAGTCTATTCCAATAACCAGGGCGATCACTAAAGAGAAGACAACACAACAATTACAACTCGAGTATATTAGGGTACTTCAGCATAGCTCACCTGCTGTGCTCCCATCGGGGATGGTCCTGTATTTCGCAAGAAACTCCTCGTCCAACTCTTTGAAAGAGTCCTCGAAAACCTTGCGCATGAACTGATTTAAAAACTGTATTTTCCATCATCTTCTCGTGCAGCCAAGCGCCCTAACCTCTTCAGTTATCGGCCCCTTATGACTCGCCAGCCGCGGTAAAATCTAAAGCACTTGCAACTTGCCAAAAGTGTTAATACCACGCCTCACTCACCTTGTTATGTGTTTGCTTAATACAGTAGTCCGCACAAGTGACCCCCTGGTGCCCATCATACACCATATACCTGAAAACCAGTGAGTGACCTGTTGCGGAAGTCGAAGACACTATATTTAAAATGACACTGATTGCCACGACTTCAAGTCGAATAAGTTGATTCCCCGGAACGCATCCTAGTGGTATATGGAGGCATTATTAGAATCAATTCCAACTAACACTGGCTGTGCTCAAACCAGGAGAAGCTTCTGAGAAAGCCAGCTCCGAATTCAATAATGGGAATAAGAAGTGAACACACGCCGAATGAACGAATCAAGAAACCACATTAATGGCCCGGCACTCACATTCCAGTGGGGCTGGGCAGATGGTCAAGACTGTACCCGAGCCTCCGCCCGATATCTTTCAAGTCCTTCAACAAGGCATGCTTATCCTCCATCTTCGCCCGCCCTGAGGAATTAGCAATTCTAATCATAATCACTCTTCCGGCGACTCACTTCCCTGCATCATGGTGGCATCAGCGGCTAGTCTCAGCTCCTGGAACGGGTCGTGCCTGGCCATCGCCATTGACAGCCACTCCTCACGTGACAGTTCTCGAAAACTCCCATCGTGTTGCGGCCTGAACATGACGATCAGATCGTTATGCCTCTCTATCAAACGGTGTAACTCCGTTTAGAAAAACATCATCTCCATCGCACGAAGCGAAGGTAATTCCGGAGGTTCACAGTCCGGAACATAAAACCAATGTGATGGAGTATATTAGGCAGTGAATGAATCTGGTCACTTCACGAGAAGTGACCCGAATTCCACCAGAATGAGGCGCAGAACTCCATCGCGCCAGGCCGCCCATCCTCCTCTACTACAAGTATAACTTCTGATTAACCCGCTGGAGCATCGTCCCCGTCACTCCGTGGTAAAACCAGTTACCCGACGAGTCTGACTCGTGCGGCACCCACCTGAAAATACATTCCATGATAAACAATTGCCCAACGAAATTGCATGCAAAGCTCATGAATATGCAATCACTTGCAGGGAACCCTCGCACAGTACGCGGCGCGGGACAGAGTCCGACAGTGTTGACGGCAACTGTTGTTAGTGGACCAAGGCAATTACACACGAAGTACATCACCTCCACTTCATTGTAAATCTATGAGCTCTTCAGCTCGCTGTATGAGTTGTGAATAGCTTTAGCATGCATGGCGCATACTCGCGACAAGGTGAGGAAAGATCGTTACGTACCCCTCTTGGTCCAGCAACCACCGACTCTGCTGTTCTCGTTGCGCCTCGATATTGCCTTCCGTGCTCTCCGAGGCCAGTCCCCCTTCTCTGTGACGGCCTGTCTTATCGTCGCTAGCAGAGCCGCCCTGAAATCGAACCCTCCACGAAACTGCTGATTCCAAGCTTCAGTTTCGCCGATTACCATCCTCATTTAGCACAAAAACGATGTGGACAACTATTGGGTATTCCAGATGGACGCCCAGCGAGGCCGTCCATCTCACACCGAAACGGTCGAGTCATTCTTACCACAGAATCAACTAATTCAACAGCTCCACAAGTCGACTAATAGCCTATACGAGCGGTTAGTCCACGGTTAACACTAGCGAATACTTTTCCTACAACCACGAATGATGAACTTCCTCTTATTCGTCAATACTCATACATTCTCTTATCGCTACTCACAGTGAAGATAACAATGGGACAACCCCTGTTATGACCATGAGCTTCTGTTCCAACTCCTTCATCTGGCGACTAGCCTCCTGAGCCTCTCTCCTATGCTTATCCTCTTCTTGTTTTTGTTTGATCATCCACAGTGGCGTTCCCCGTCCACGACCTGACGATACACCTCTCCTCACTCCTACTACTGGGAGAAGTCAAAATTCACTTAGCAGTGATATCGGTAATCGTAGTATCAGAAACTAGCATGGACTCAGAGAGGATACACCAGCGACAATAACCGATTTCTCCTCTAGCTGAAGACCAACATTTTTCTTGACTAATTCGCTAACTAGCATAGCGTAATCACACGCCGACCAGCGGCTTTCACCCAGTTTCCGAGTTGAAATGGCTAAGCCGAGCATAAAGTGTATGAGCATAGCATGTGACAATCACCCATCCTGTTTACCAGGTACATTGCACTGCAGCTTCCGCTCCGCTTGTCGCTGCGCATGAACGTCCTCAAAGAATACACTCACTGGCTGAGAAGATGGAAAACCTCTTTAATACCACTTCATAGAAGAACGCTCCAATCACAGCCTCCAATATGACTCGCGTTCAGCGATATATATTCTCTAACATCGAGGTTTAATAATTACTAATTCACTACTTGATTATCCCTATTTTACTGCTAACGTTTTACTACTCTCACTTGAGCTGGAATAAACATTTCTACCGTGATCGTCAACCTGCTACTACAACAACACATTCCTACATTCGGTGCCGGTCCATACCGCTGGTTGTACTGATGATCAATGCAGTCAGCGAACTCATCGTCATCTTGTGCTGTCGGGGGAGGAGCCGGGCCAACGTACCCACTGCCTCCTGCATTGCTACTGCTAGTGTTGAAGTCATAGTACTGCGACCCTCCTTGTTGGCCTTCCATTTAAGCCTCAGATAGGGACTAGGAGGACGCGAGCAGGGACAAACACAAAAGCCTGCCATCCTCATATAAGGCAACTCCCAGGCTTTCACTCTTCTCACTATTAACCCAAAGCTTTGGACTCCTAATACGTGAGATAACGAAAATGATTACGACGAATATGTGGAGGGCCAACGAGAGGTGACAGTCTCGACCTCTTCAACCCAGAGCCGTCAATAATATAGAGCCATCGGACACCGGTGTAATGAACGGTAACAGTATACGGGAGATTCGCGATAGATTACTATACCATTCCTCTTTCAGATCAGCTCAGGATGAAGGCTACGAGAGGGACACACTACGCGACCCACGCGAGTTCGATGTTATAATACTATTCATACAACAATCGCGTTCCTATAAAAAACAAACTTTTGAAAAGCCTCAGCCATTATGACGCAATTACATTACCAAATACGCGACCGACAACCTACTGGACAACGACAAACTGGTCCTCTCCACAGATCCCAGCCGAAGACTTCAATGGTCACAAACAAGTACTATGGGAGACAGCACGAACTCCTCGTGAGGGTCAAGCATTGAAATACTATAAAATAGCTTATCGAGATTGAATAGGAGTTACCGTTGGTCTTATGCCTTCATACTAGCAAAGTCCCTCAGATAACTGTTATTCTGTGACGCTTGGTCGGTGACGTCGACGGACTCGCCCGAATGCAACCATTCTCTCCTGCTTCTACCACATTCACAGTGCTAGACGATCTCGACCCGCGCTTGCGTGGCGCTGCTGGGGCCGTCAGTGGGATATCTAACACGTGATTCCAAAGTGTTCTATAATGAAAATCAATACAACAACTGTGTCAGTTTCTACCACCCCAACCAACGTGACCAAAAATTCGTCAGCTTCCCTACCTATTACTCACCTCTAAGGACTATCCCACTGTCCCTAACGTTCTCTCCACGAGTGTTGCCCCCAGCCTCACCCCCCATCAGCAGCATCCTTCGCCTTGCAATAGCAGCTCTAGTACCTAGTTATACTAGATCAAGTCGCCGACGAGCAGATAACAGTCTCACACTGCGCGGGTGGCATCTCCCTCGACAGGGCCAGGTCTAACGCAGTGAGTGTCGATGGTTCAGATGACGGCTCTTCATCGAAACGTTTACGCTTCATCGGAGTTGAAATTGCTGCAGTTGAAGCCTGCGAGCCGCTGAATAGAGAGAAAATACACGAAGGCATCAGGAACAGCCAATATACTACACCTTTCAAATCTCAAATTCAACAAGTGAGAGAACAAATCAAATAAATGAGATTTGATTTTCGACGAATGAAAGGACTTTTTCACGAAATGAAAGTTCAAATTCGAAATGAAAGTTCGAATTCGTAAATGAAATTTATGAATTCGGAAACGCAAGTTCAAATTCGTCGAACACAAGACCAATTTCGACCAATGAAAGCTCGAAATTGATCGAAATTTCATCTACGAATTTGAATTTTCATTTCGTGAAAAACTCCTTTCGCTCGTCGAAATCAAATTTCTTTCGTCAAATTGCTGAATTTGAGATTGAAAAGGTGTATAAGAGTACCACTTCCAACGTCTTACAATCTCAAAGAGGTTCCCTCCACAGCAGCAGATGGACTGCACGCAGCCACACTAGATCCGCTCTGGTTTCCGCTGACCGAACTCGAGCTGTCTGCCCTCCTTCTACGGGCGACCGGATGCTCATGTGAGTGCATTGCGGCAACAACCGCTGCGACACTGAGATGCAGACAGTAACCAAATCCTTCTAGCCGAACGACCTCACTCAAACCCCGGACGGAAGAGCTGCAGCTTCCTTCTGATGTCAACAGCACTCGCGGAGTCTCGTTCCAGCACAGCTGCAGCCGCTTCGCTCACCGCCGCAAACGCAAGTACGTCCCCAGGATAGAACAGAACAGACCTGAAAATCAGTAACAAAAGAATTCTCATAGGGCGTCTGAATTTGCCCTCACCTTCCCCTGAAAGCTTCATTGAGAAATGCTACAGCCTTCTGCTGTAGTCTCTTCCTGAGCTCTCCATCGCCTGTGACGCTCTTCACTATCTGACAAACGACTAAGTCACAAATCAACTTTCATCTGCTCTCAGCTCGACTCTAGATATTATCCGAGTCGTAGTCGACAACAACACGAGCATAAATTCTGCGAGAAAAAACTACCAATGATTCCACAAGGCGATTTAATAAAATCACATAGTCGAATTTGAACCGCCATTTTCCGGGCGCGTCACAATTTCATACCCACCAAAAACGATGTTATTACCGAGCCGACGTGTTTATGTGGGAGATTCAAATCAAACTCGAATCCTGTCAAACACATTATGGCTTCTTCCATTTCGCAAACATCCTGCGCCATCTTCTGAAGTGCCTGCAAATCGATCGAGTGATCGATTTGTCTAGTACCGCGATGACCTACTCGCTGACTGGTATATCGCGACTGTCTCTCGAGCTTCTCATAGCAATCAAGAAGTTGATTCATCCGCAAGCGTATCTGCAAATGCACCAAAAAATACCGGGAAATTTCTTAAAATTTTCCGAGCCTCACCGGAGACCTCTCGCACGACTTGAACGCAAGGAATGTCGCCGCTAACACTACTGGTCGCCAGCCGTACCGCTAAGAGAAAGCACTGCCCGATACCAACTTTTTCGCAAATTACAACTCACCTTCAAACTGTGCACCGCGTAGAACAGATGACAGTACCACATAGCTGTAGCGCGAATCTCCGCGAAATCGTCCGGACCGATGCCGTTTCGATTCGCCGGTATGCAATAGTCAGTCCAGACCCTCTGGCACACCTAAGAAATTCCATTCCAAGATGAATCCAACAGACTCCTTGCCACCTTATCTACAAAGTCAGCGTGACGCACTACTGCTCTATCTTCTGTTGCATCCGTAACTCTGAGAAGAGACGCACTGAGCGACGATCAAAAGCCTCACCCTTCACCAGTTTGAATACTATTATGTAGCCAGTACGCACAAGACTACCAACAACGATGCATTTCAACGACAAAGCATATATAGGTGCAGTGTTGGAATATATTTTCGCTCTCCTCAGCTAAGCTTGGGAGTTTCATCAATAATTATAGACGTTTCCATACGAATCCGAGTAGAAACGTACAGGAATCAATGATAAATTCCAAAAATTTCCTCGGAATTTTCATTCGTCACCAACATATGTGGTTGACCATGTGCATATTTCTCCACACTATAGAGTTGTCTTCCCCGAAATAGCGTGTGAATTCGTAGTGTAACGTGAGTTCGGAAACACAATCATTGTCGACCCACCCGAAATCTTCGGAGTGCGCGTTAGAGGTAGGGAATTCATTCCAACACCAGAAGATATTTCCTCGACAAGCAAAGTACTACTTATCTTTCCGACTGGGACTAGCGACCCTCAAGGCGTCAGGAGAGAACAGTAGCAGCCCCTTGTATGTCTCAGAGCTGCTACATGTCGACTGCTGTGATGAGGCGAATCCAGGCGGTCCATGAGGAGAGATCTGAGACGCGCTGACGGAGGAAAGGATGCCTTCCTTGTGTGTGCTTACCACTGGAGAGGAAGAGTACTCCCCACCGCCTGTGACTGGGCTGTGACTCCCACAGGACCCTGCACTCAGCGGAACTAGACCGCCGAGAACACTGAGGCCTCCACCGCACATCACTATGGGAGCTCGCGATAGCAGGGATGTATCTACAGTGGGGGTGAGTAGGTAGCATTACGAGTCCTGTTGCCTCTAGGATGCTATCGCGCTCAAGACTGGGCAATGCTATTTGGTATACCCCCAGTCTAGATGACTGAATTGTCACACATCCACGATAGGAGTCTTAATCCTCTCAAAACGGAAGGAGTTGGTCCTCTCCGGTGAGTAGCAGCTCTCTAGATGAAACGTATCGAGAAAAGAATAATACAAATGGGTAACAAAATACTACCAGGAGACTCCTGCCTTCCCTGAGAGCACTGGGGCCGATGAGTATGTGCAAGCGTGTCACACTCCTCACTGGGCGCACCAGGGGGTCGCTTTGGCGGACTATCGACGTTGACGAACATTAAAGATATTTTTTGAGTTTTAAAAGATGATATCAAAAACTGGGAACGGCAGTTAATATACTAATCTCCCAACCTACTGCTAATGGAGGTGCGAGGGATGAGGTGCACTCATATCCTCTTAACGATATTGTGCACTTCGTAGATTAACATCGATAATAACGATGCCCCTCGACCGAGTCACCTCGGCCTGGAACGAGGCGACCATTGGCTCGTATGCCTCAGTTCATAAAATACCACTGAAATCTGTGATCGGTCCTGGAATCGTGATATACCCGCGAGAAAAGCAGAACATCGAATATTCTCCAAAATTGTCTACAGTGGAGACATTATTAATGACCAACTTGAAAACTTGCAATCCTTTGGTGTACACGTGCCAGTACTGTATATTCTACACCAATACGGCGTCAGCTTCTCCTCTTCAATGGTTCAGACATCTTCGATCCACTAGTAGCGATACAATACAGCAGTGTTAACGCAAGATGATTCACTTGAAGAATTGAAGTATGTATATAGGAGATCATGCTATGCCGTTTTTCATTCCTTCGGCCTCTTTAATCTACATATCATCTTGGAGTAGTACTTGCGGAGAGGCTACTGCTCGCTATAACCAACAATCTTTTGTAAAACAGTGGAGGCTAAAAACTCACACGGAAAGTCTGTGAGGAATTAGCTTGCGTTAGAGGTGTGGTTCGTCGCGCCAGTACTACTCCTATGCGTGGGCTGGGGAAAGCTGTTTTCACTGATGCGTCTTGATCTGTATTTCCTAGAGCTCAGTTGTTTTTGATTCCCTCCATCTAGCCATGCTCAATTTCATTCCCAAGACGTGCCAGTCGGTGTCGTTCCTGTAAGTCGCTCGTCTACCACTACCCCCAAACTGTGAGTTCTCCTGATAGGTACGGAAAGCGTGCCGTGCAGAGGATCGCTGTTGGAGCTGCTGGACGGGAGGTGGAGGTAGGGCTACTCGGAAGTTTCCTATACCTTCTGTAGGATTCCCCAGGTCCCCATCGACGTTGTGAGGGACATCCCAGAAATGTGCGACACGTCAGCATCGTACATTGGAAATAAATATCAAGCGCTGCCATGGTAGTGCTTCTCGTCACGTTTCGTCATTTGAGATTTTCTCTCAGGAATGAGTTCATCCGTATTAAACTCGATGCGCGAAATTTGATGGACGCTAACGTCAAGACTGCCCTCACGGATTTGGACTGGTACGAGAAGGTTAGGTAAGGAGTTGAACGTTTACTTTGGGTTTTCATATCCCGTCGTTAGGGCGGTCTATGCTACCTCGCAAACGGCAACTGAAATGGATGTCGTATCGAAAATGACGGAGCAGATGGCTGGCAAGGGCTTGAAGTAATACGGCAGGCCACTTCTCTACCTTTCCTCTCTACTGTGGGGCCAGTACAGCGCGGGCTGGGTTTGGATCCGCCCTCGAAATGCGTGTCACTGTGTCACTGCTATTCACTTTGATGTTATATCTCGCTCAACTTTGATAGTTTGTCCGTATGGGCATACGTCATATTTTTTGGTCTGTTAGCATATTATGTAGATCTCGGCGATCTATATCATTCACACTGTATCGATTGCTCTCGAAAATATCTATATCATGGGAGATTCGTTTCATTCGGAGTAGACTGTCATTAGGGCTGTGCACATTCTGTCTAGGTACCCGGTCGCAAAGCAGTAGGTTGATGACATTATTGACATTTTTGGGAGTATTTCCTGCGTGTCGGCTCTGCGGTTTCGATGAGATATTCTATGTAGAGTTCATAACATCGTCGTGAATACCAAAAATCACCTCTCTACGAGTGGGATGAATCGTGAATATCTAGATGAGCAATCTAGTGTTGTTCTGCATCTACTGGTCGCCGTGGACTTTCGTGCAGCAGGAGGACCCCATGTGGATGGTTCATATGCTCTAGTGGGATTTGTTCAGCCCTCGACCATGGGCGTAGCCTGACTGTTGTTGACAGTATTGGTCATATTTGGAGGACCTGGCATCTCGTGTCGAAGTGTATTTCATGTGTGCATGATTGGCACTGGGTGAAATCACTTGTGAGGATTAGAACTGAAAGGGCGGTCGCCGCCCACACACAATCTCAGCCGCCTTTCTCCAGAATGACAATGTCAGTGATGGAGCTAATTTATTCGTCATTTCGTTAATTCTATTGTAGAAGTTGCTTTACTATGAGCGACCTAATTTCCCAGAGTCTCAGATTGCTGCCGGATACCGCACCGCTGACAAATCGTACAGCGATAGCGGTCCATTTGTGCATCCTAGAGAGCGGATATTGTCCAGCGGAGCCTCGAGTTGAACGGCAAGCGTCTGGCGAGATCGCGATGTCGATCGTTCCTATGGAGTGGCTGCGGGAGGGAGTTCAAGTCTTCTCGGGTCGATACTGCCGCCGGGGTGGAATCGGCCGAGAATTGGAAGTGAAAATGGTGCCGACCAGTTCGGGTAAAGTGAGTGTGCATGCGTGCAAAATTGCGGCTGGGGACGAGAAGGAAGCACTCAGTGGGGCAGAGGTCGATGCTGTTGATATGAATAATTTAAACTCATTGCGAGAGAAGGTCGTTGATATGCTCACCAAGTTGGAGCCACGGACGCTGACCTCGGTGGAGACTAGGAGGGATGAGGCAGGCGAGGAGACGCGAGATCGTCGTACGAATCATGAAGGAGAGAATGTAATATGAGGTCCGGAAGGTCTGTATGCAGTGTTTTCGGAATATAGTTGTGAAGTTTAGCTTTATGATTTTTCATGAGAGCATTCGTGAAATTGTTGTGGTATGGCTCTGACGTGAGTACTTCAGCACGATGAGTAATAATCAGATAATCCCACCAGTTCGCGGTGAACTTGATGATGTTACGCGTGTAGGTGGTCATTCCATTGATCGCTTTTTCAGCCCTACACTTACACCAGCCCGCCTAATATCATAAGAGACCCTACCACGGGGGTAGGAGGTGCTGGAGGCCTCCTTGTAGGTCCGAGGGATCCGATGTTCACGGGTGGAGTGCCACAGAATGGTCCGGGCAGTCTGCAACCGCGATGGGATCCTATGGGCCCTGCTGGATTCGACGGTAAGTCTCGGAGAAGCAGTAGATGGGCAAACGTCAATAAGACCACCCTACGTTGGCACAGTTCTTCATCGTGTAAGTGTCTTCTCGATGTTGCTCGCATTTCAGGAGAACCCGACTATGACCACGAGGTGCCACCGCGGTTCAACAGACCTCCACCTCCTGGTAAAGGGTTTGGAGGGCCCAGAGGCGGAGGCTTCGGTGGCTCTGGCTCCTTTGGTGGTGGATTTATGTGATTGCCATTTTTCACTCGATATAGTGGATATAACAGTTTCATTTACTAACTATCATGTTGAGCCGATGAATGTGGGTAACGGAAGTATGCAGTTGTCACTGTATGGCCGTTGATCCTCCTGCCACAGGAGAGCAGCAAGAGCCGACGCGGCGGACCGCATATGGGCGAGAACGTCTACCATTTACGCCACGCACGTACAAAATGATAAAACGTGACTGCGAGGTGATAGGGGATGAATCGCGAAAAATGCCAAGTCGGATGGTTGTAGAATATGAATACTCATGGGAAACGTAAAGCCGTTTTTTGTGGTACGTGGAAGTTCTATGTGGGAGGGACTGTTTAGGTAGTTGTCGAGTTGGAGCTCTATGGGAGTTTCCGAATCAGCTGGCGTCACCAGTCACGGCTGTTCACAGATTGTTGACTTTAGGTTGGTTTCGTGGAGGCGTCTCGGGAGATCGACCGTCTCAAGAAAGGGACATTCCCGGATTTTGAGACAGGCGAGATGGTGGCTGGAGAACTACAGGCTACGAAAAGTACTATTTGGAGGGCGCGTAGAGACTCACAGATCGTTTTAGTGGTGCTGTTCTAGAGCGGCATCTTGGGTCGTCACTCAGGTATGCCAAACCTGCGTCCGTCCAGCCGTGCCACGACAGCCCAGTCCCTGATTTCGTCCACTACGCGAAGAACGCCCAAGCACCTCCAGCGGCGGCAGAATAGTGGCGAGTTGGATGAGGGGAGGAAAGTTAGGGTTATGGGACGAACAGTAGGTTAGGTCATATCGGGTGGAGTGATATGATGCTCCTGATGGCCTTCGTGGTCTATACGGGCGATTTAATTCACTCCGTTGGAATCTCAAAACCGCCTCTACGAATGCTAAGATTCCTTTCTATAGTTGAGTTCGAGGAGATTGATGAAAAGCCCCCAACCAAATGTTGCTGTCAGATTTCCGAAACTGGCATTAATCGCATTGGGAATCCGAGAGTTCGCGTTCTTGCTAAGGTAAGAAAATGTATGATGTGTATCGCTCCTATCAATGGTCTCAGATCGAGATGAACCGACGGCACAAGACGCTCAGGAAGGCTACGCTCATGAGTGTACCTTGGCGTAGCACAGGCCTAGTGGATGTGAACACACTGCAACGAGAATGTGTACGTCATTGTGGGGCGAGTGACGTGGGTAGTGCCTCGATCGGTCAGGTGCGGCTGAATGCCAGCGGCTCGTCGTCGACTAAAGAGATTATGGAGGAGTGGAAGCATAGGGTGTCGCAGGGCATGAGCAGAACACCGATACGGCGTCGGCTGGATGCAGCGCTCGCTCGCCTATCTGGGTCGTCCCCTTCCCCGGGAGATCCACCACCAGCAAACTCAGGGGACTCCACCAGTCCACAGTCTGAGGGTCGCCGCTTAGGAAAATCGGTGACGGTGGGGTCGCTCCTGTCACCGGAGGTGGACTTCATCAGTGAGAATCGGAGCACGGTAGGGGTCTGTATTCTCTCGTTCCGATAAACCTGGTTCGAGATGTGCGACGTTTTTACGCAGGGAAAAACGTCCGGACATTACTTGAATGTTCTACTCATTTTACGAGCCATACAGTGAGCCAGCAGTAATGATGGTCCTATATTTCAGGCTCAACTTCATGCATCATCTCCCGATCACAAATTACGCCAAGTAAGCCGTCGAATTGCTTTATCGCATTCGTGTTATGGTAGGTTAGATGGATGGTAGAGAAGCGAGAAAACCGCATGCGATCGGCTCTCCTGAGTCGACAAGGGTCGCTTGGGGCGTGCAGCAGAGTGTAATACTGTTCGTGCATGGCATTGCTCTAGACTCTAGTCTTTACGTGGCTCGTAAATTCATGTGGTGGTACTTAGGGACGACCTGAAGGGGCACCGCAGGCTGAGACGCTGTAAGAGTGCCGAAGCTTATGGTGGATCGACCTCTGCTGCTGGTAGTGTCTTCAAGGGGCGAGGGCGGATCAGAGTAGGGAGAAAATTTTGGAAGTATTGAGCGTATCTCCCATAGAACAGCTCAGTCTTGCGTGACGTTAAGTCACCATCTCGTGAACATTTCTCGAGTGATGTATCCTTGGAATCTACTTGGCATTGATTTATCCGATGGGAGCATCTACTATGTGCTTTGAGTCTTCAGGTCACCTGGACGCACGCACGCGCAAGCCGGACGATCAGCTGAAATCTCGTCAAAAGCAGTGGCTCGAGGTCACTAGGAATTAGAAACGGTGAGGTATTACCAAAATCGATTCCCTTCAGTTTCTCTCGGCTGCGTCCGGCGCTCTGAAGATGCGGAACTACGCGCTGTCGAAGCACGTCTCGACCGATGTCAAGTTGCGGTGAGTCCAACGTTTTCGTGATTGCGATCTATGTTCGACGGTTCAGGTCTTCTACTCCGCGATTTCGGTCATCGCGTAAACGTTGGACACTGGCTGTGAATGCATGGTTAGTCTACTTCACTTGTCGTGCGCCTTCCTGTCATCTTCGTTCATGCCAGCGTGAGGTTTTTGAGACCGCTGTGGAGGATGCGAAGGAGGGCCCATGCAGCTGAAGTGGTGCGGAATTTCCTGGTAACGACATCGCACGCGGGAAAACTGAGGTGAGAGGAACTCTTTGAAAATCAGTTTCGATCTTCTGGTGATGTCAGTCTTGCCGTGAAGCGATTGCTGTGGAACATTAGGAGATTCCAAAGACTGTGGAGGCAGTTTCACGAAGATAAGCAGATGACGCTGCTTACTCAGTGGATACCGGCTTTCATCGAGGCGGAGCGACAGTACCTCACAGAGCTCTACCAGAACAACTCGGTAGGGGACAGCCCTACCGCGTGGACCGAAGAAAAGTCAACTGCTCGAATTTCGTGTAATTTCAGGCGGCAGAAATCATCGTGAGAGACCCACCCGTAGATGAAATTGAAAACTGGTTTGAAGCTTGGCAGAATGCGGCTTCCTATGGGAAGAATCGCTCGATGGGAAGCCAACGGGGAACGCCTGTCCGCGATCGACGTGAGAGTCCTGGGATCTCGAGCCGCACTTGATGAGTGCACTAGGGTGTTCATCAGAGAGTCGTCGTTCTAGCATGGGAATCTCTGCGAGCGCGCCTACCCTGCGAAAGGCGGTGAGGGTTACTCTGAGCACGCCAAAACTGGCCGGGACTACTGCGGGTCGACGGAGCGAAGCTGGGCGAAGATCTCGAGTAAATCGAGGGGGTTACTCGTGCCTTTTATATCACCTTGTTGGTCAGGTGTCTTTTCGTGACTCTAATCTATTGCAATCGCAGTCATTGCGACATAGCACTTCCCGTCCCAGTGTAAAGAAGATGTCTATACGGATAAAGAGCCTCGGAATATCCAGGAGAAGTTTTTTCGGGCCGCAGGACGAGGAAATGATGGCGGGGGTCGCCTTGGCGCAGCTGAAGGCTAGAGTTAAGGCGGCCACTCTGCATCCAGTGGGTGCCTCCAGTCGGTGACACTACGCGGATGTTGCTTCTCGCAGGCACTTCGTTTTGGTCTGTTGTCCGCGGAGTATTCTCGTCGTATGCGGAATAAGGCGATTTCTGCGAGAAAGTTGGTACTTTCTATGAGAGAGGCTTTGACACGTCTGCGGAACTGGGTGGGTGAATTTGGAGATCTCTTGTGGAGCTCCGCTACTTTCAGATTGAGTTTGCTAGGATATTCCGTCTGGACGCCCAGTCGGCCTCTCTTCTTCTGGTTCCCAGTGTAAGCACGTCGCTTGAGTCTTGCACATTGATGACGATTTCTAGCATAATCTCACCACGGGTATGCACGGTGATGGTAACAAGAGTCTAGAGTTCACAGCCGAAACTATGATGGAGTTCGTCAGGACCAATCACGAGTACGTCCTGGAGTTGCAGCATCTGTCGACTTTTGATGTTATCAGGTTGTATGGTAGCGCGTGTGTAACGGCATCGGATCCGGATAAGGCTAAGCGCGACTGCCACAAATCTACCGTAACGCTGGCAGTGCCGGTAGGATGACGCTGTTGATAAGATCTTGTCCTCCCAACTCGCCGCCAGTCAGTAACGGTGTCAGGGTAACGGTGCTACTCGGAAGGACGTCCCGAATCGCGTGAGCAGTAGGAATTCTACGCGGAGGAGCAGCGATGAGCACAAGAAGCTCCCCCCGCAGGGATCGGTCACCAACTTGAAGGTATTGTTGGCCGCTTGAAGGGATTTCTCAATGGGGTAGAGTTCACGAGAGTATATGGGGTCAGGTCATCAGTAGTCAATACTATTGATGAGTGGGTTACTCATCGTTTAATTTTTCGCTGACCTCTTATTTACTTCTAACTGGCTCGTGAATGTTGTCTGTACATATAAGCTCTGGTCAGAACCCCACTTGTAGGAGCCGGAGTACTAGTATATTGCTCTCGAGCTTCGCTCGATCGTCTTGGAGGTTTAGATGCTTTCGAACTGCTTGGTCTTGGCGCTCTCAGGACTGTTTCGCCTTGGCTAAAGCATATGAAGATGAGTTGTGGAAAGAAGCTGTGAAACAGGAGGAAGCGGCGATGAAAGTAGCGAAAGCTATGCAGTCTTCAAGGCGTGCATCATAGCGATATCCATGTTGTCGAGTCGCGCGAAGTTGTTACATGCTGCCATCAGCGATCGTATCCACACTTGTGTTCAGTTGAGCTCAGGAGCCTTTCAGGGGGGTCGGTTCACTGTGCTCGCGATGTTCCTTCCGGATAGACATCGTCATGGTGCCACTCTCTTTACAATTTGCGCTATATTCACATTGGAGTATTGTGTGTGACCTATCTCGTGCCACAGGAGTTGTGGATTGTTGCCGCCTATCCATCGCGTTCAGTGGAATAGGTATGTGTACTCACTAGCGTGTGCTCTGGAGTACACCATTAGTGCATCTGAGTATTATTATCGTCTCGCAGTGAGGTATTTAGCAGTGCTGATGGTCAGCTTTTTCCGACCCCGGGTATCAGAAAACAATGCTGATTGACGGGGTGAGGGGTCGTTAGTCGTGGGAGCTTCAGATCCTTGCCGGTGAGATACAGCGGGTCCCTGGGGAGATGAAGAGCGTCGGAGAAAGTTGTGGACATGTGGTATGTCTCGGTAGAGATGCTCTTCTCGAACGACCTGCAAGAGGGCGAATAGCTGGCTGACCTTATGGAAGATGATAGGGAGCCGCGAGGCTGTTACGATGGTGCGGACGTCGTGTCGATTTCGCACTCTTGTACGTTACTCATGTGCCTCGTTGTGTTCCACGATGTGACAATGGTTGTATTCATCAACACTGGTGGTTCAGCGTTAACTTCAGAGGTCTGTTTCGGCTTGCCCCTATGCTGTGTGATGCTGTCATTTCTTGTTCGAGTATGGCATCGAGCGAGTCACCTCTAGTCTCGCCGTTGCAGACAGCAGACGCAACCATGATTGCTGTATACAAGATCTGGCCAACGCAGCGGACCTGGTTTGGGTGTGGAGGGCGTTGCGTTTGTGGCCCTAGGCCTTGGGCACCAGTGTGGACCAGTATCCCTATCGTCCTCGGGTAGTTCGAGGGGTGTGGGGAGGAAGGAGAAGTGATCACCTCAGGTTTGGCTTGTATGTTGCACTACCTGCGATAGACATATGGCGAAGGCTTTCTCCGTGGGTCACTTTAATGACGATTTTCCTTTTCTTGATGACTATGGGCAGCCTTTTACTCACAGCTTATACAGACCCGGGAATTCTGCCCAGGTGAGTTGTGGGTATACAGGAGTAGGGGCGCGGGATTGCTTGCTCGCTCACATCGTTAGTGGATGAAACTTGTCGACATTCCGTGTTTCCCGACCCCAGTTTTCTCTCAGGCGTGCCTTGCTTGATGCTATGGAAGAGATAGGATCTCCCGAGGCACTGTGCAATGGGGATCTGGAGGCGGAGCAGGATCGGGACAGTGGGCGATTTCGATACTGCGGTGAGAATAAGGAAGAGCATAGTAGAAACGAAGCTGGTAACTCGTCGCCCTAGTCGACGAGTGTATCGCTGTTATGTCTGGTCCCATTGTTCCTAGCCACCCTAGTTCTGTTTTACGCTGTCGAGCCTGGCATATTTACGGGTACAGTGTGGTTTTCCCCGGAGTTTTCTCTCAGAAAACAATCGAGGACCTACCATTGCTTTTTTCAAGGCACGTGCCAACTGTACCGTGATATGACTACAACGTCGCACTGCAGAGTGTGTGACAATTGCGTCTCTGGCTTCGATCATCATTGCATATTCCTCAATAACTGCATCGGTAAGAGGCGCTGATGCGAATAGCCAAGGATTATTGTATTTTACAGGTTGTCGGAACTACCCCTTCTTCATGGTGTTTGTCGCATCAGTCACTATATTAGCCGCAATGGTGATGACACAGTTCATTATCTGGGCTAACATCATTGATGAGAGCGGCTCTTATAGGATGGGAATAAAGATCGAGATGGAGCCGGTAACGTCCTACCGGTGTGGTTTGATGTGTTTATTTCAACCTCATATCGAGAGTGTCTACGCCAACAGTTCAAATGAGTCTGGTCGACTATACGTGGCGTTCCATCATCGTCAGTGTTCGCGCTTGTCTGAAATCACAGTTGCTGTTTTCAGGGGCTCGCCATTCTTGCTCGAGTGCTGGCTGTGCTGGGTCTGATATGCTTGGTAACTTTAGCGCTTTTCTTTGGGTAAAGAGGCTCTGGAAAACTCGTGCAAGACTTTCTTAGGTTCCATATGTGCCTCCTTCTGACGGGCAAGACGACGAAGCAAGTTCTGCGGCCGAACAAGCGGTTCCCGTCCCGACGGACTCCGTGGTGTGAAAGTCTGTTCACGCGTCATGCTCCCTTCTTCAACCCCCGGTTGAGAGTGCCGAGATCAGCTGCCATTCAAATTGTCTGAATTCAGCACCTATTCGCAGATAAGTGTTCTCGCGCAGATTTTCTTTGATTTTTGTGGTAGTACGCTATCCCACTGTCCTCGCAATTCGTTTCCATTTTGATGAGCGTCTGTCGAGTCTGAAGAATTCCACGAGTGTATGATGCAGTTCGAGGCCGATTGGGCCCCTCTCGTTGCTCCTTTTCGTGGCGTCCTATGGGCCTTCTGAAAATTGTACGAAAAGTGAAGGAGCAGGAGCGTGAGATTCGCTTATTGATACTGTAAGTCTCCAACAGTGATATCAGTACATCGCTTCGCTGTGGCTGTGAGTCGTCCAGCTGAGCTCCCCAGTTCTGCTTCGATTTTCAGGGGCTTGGACAACGCAGGGAAGACTACAGTGCTGCTGAGATTCAACGGGGAGGACATCTCTCAGATTCCACCCACTGTTGGATTCAACATCAAAACTATTCTCTTCAATGAGTGAGTCTCCAGCTAATCGTGATGTCGCAGTTGAAGGAAGGCTCGTGAGCGACTTGGAGACGGGGATACATAGGATATGTGATGAGTTCAACACGATGGTTTGAAAATCGAGACTGACTTCCGGTCGTTTCAACTGGACAGGCTTGCTTGCGAGCTCATCGAAAGCAGTGTCCGGCAAGGTTCTCTCCTATCTACGTGTTGTGTGCATTTCTTATTATTCGAGTGATGCGATCCTCCTTTAGTTATAAGTTGAACATCTGGGACGTTGGCGGGCAAAAAAGTATCCGTAGCTTCTGGAGGAACTATTTTGAAGCTACTGACGGTCTGGTGGGAGTTGCTTACTACCGCGCATTAGCAGTCATGACCTGCAGGTTTGGGTTGTTGATTCGCTCGACCGTCATCGCCTGTCTGATTGCAAGGAAGAGCTCCACAAGTTGCTTAGAGAAGAGCGTCTTGCTGGCGCTTCTCTCCTGGTACGGGAGCATATTTGAATCGCTTCGTATTTGAGATATTGCGAGTTTAAAAAATCCAGGCTACTCATCGTCAATGCACTTTTTCCCTCTGGTAGATCCTTGCGAACAAGCAGGACATCGCTGGCGCCCTCTCCCCTGAAGAAATCCGCAAGGTGGGTGAATGACGTAGCAACTTGTGCGCTGGTCGAGAGGGTTGTCCCGTCAGCATCTAGAGCTGGAAACAATGTCTATGTCTCGACACTGGTATGTTCTGCCGTGCTCGGCAGTGACGGGTGAAGGACTGTCTGAAGGAGTCGAATGGATTGTTGACGATTGTGCAAAACGTGTTTTCACTCATGGATGATTTCTCGAGCTTCGACACTGTTTACTTACAGCGAGGCAGACGGGGGGCGTTTTAAATGCTACTGATGGTCTACTCCATGCTGATCCCCCTGATCCGGCCAGAGAAGTCCCGGGCATTTTCCTTCTAACTTAGTTGTCTTGCCTCTCTTGCTTGGCTGTGTGTAAATGTATGCCAGCTCACAAGGAAGCTTGGGGGACGCTGAACGAGCTTCATTCATCCGCTATTGTAAGAACGTCCCACTTCCCCGATATTTATTTAGATGAGCGTTTGGGGAGTGGTGTGTTCTCCGTCTTAAAGGATTACTGTCCAACTTTTAGAGCTGCAAAGGTTTGCTGAAGGAGATATCTGGTGTGTCCAGAGCCAGAGTAGAGGAACTATGGTCTTCAGTGGCAGAAGAGATAGAGGCTTCACGTATCGATTACATCCGCACGTAAGTTCCTGACGTCCTACTAGTAACCTCCAAGTCGATTCATCACGGCACTTCGCGGGTCACCAGGTGGTTCTCCCGTTTGCACATGCCCTGTGTGATGTCTGTAGGGATACCCGTCTCTCGATCGCCATACGGGGTGCTGATGGTGCACAAGAACGCCTCCGGCAAGTGCTGCCGAGATTGAGGAGTCTTCAGGAACCGCTGATAGAAGCTAATGTAAGCGAGGGTTCTGTTTCGGCTTCTTGATGAGGTTGCTCAGAATGCCGTAGTTCGTCTCGAAAAGGAAATTGCAACTCTGAAGGAGGCTTGCTGTATCCACCATCAGCTCGCAGACGTCCAAAGCTTACTGGGTGAAGTGGACCATGACTTCTTCATTGAAGATGTCCTGCAACGGTGAGGTGCTCATAACCTATCCTCGATGATTGGTCACATCAGTTGTCGACTCCTGCAGAGTGCCCGAGAGCTCCTTGAGCCATTAACTCCTCTGAGTCGCCGTGGGTGCCCTCTTCCACTGAGCTCGTGTTTAGAGACGTAAGTTCGTTTGACGCCCGTATCAATATGGCACTACTCACATAATCATGATTGACGGGTATCTGCTTCTAATCCGCGCATCAATATAACGCCTTAGATTCGAGTCCCTCACCGTGGCTACCATCGAGGGGATGGTCCGAGGCGTAACCGAGGGGTCCCCTGTTGACCATAGCGCACATGCATCTTGCGAGTCAGTAAGAATCATGATGCAGACTTGGCTATCGCGACCGGAAAGTCAGCAGATCACTCTCCCCCTGTTCTGTGGATTGGCGCTAGAGCTTTAGATGTCGAAGTGGAGATCCTGGACGTGCTGGCTGAATGCCTTATCACCAACGTGGGTGTTCCTTGATCTCTTATGTTGCTATGCAATACTTAAGTCCACTTCCTTAGACGATATAGTCGTGAGTTTGTCTCCCGCGCTCACTAAGTTTACCGCGAGGGCATAGGATCGCGGAAACCTGGTCCCAGCAAATGTGTCGAGAATACCAGATTCCCGAATGCATAGATTCCTCACAAACTTCAGTGCTCGCTCAACACTGTCACCTACATGGAATATGTACTGGCTTTCTAACCCGCGCCACTTTAGGTCATCAACCCAATCGCGACTCACCGAGGGGATCTCCGACTATCATATGCGGGCTTTGCCCAGGAGTGGTCCCTTGAACTCCTGGATTCTGGTGAGCTTGATGATGCCGCGGTGGGAGAGGCACTCGAGACTATGGTGGAGTTCCTCAAACGGACCGTCTTCCCAGATGGTGAGGAGTGATTTATTTATCTATAAGAACTCGAACTCGGGCACATATTATCAGAATCATCCCCCTTCCTAGCAATGGGACATAGGCTGTGGCCCGTCATGGGTAACTGTCTGCTCGACATGGTTGCGGTGGCTACCTTCGATCGGCTGGAAGCACACATGCGCAGTATAGGTTTCATTGATGAGGTAGGTTACGTTGATTGACTCAAGGCATCGTTTACTTCCGCAGCTCGTGTCGCCTCCCGCGCATCCGAGCACGAACAGTGCGATAACAGATTGCTCTATCGCTCGACCGTGTCCGGTTACCAATGCAGTTGCCTCTACTGCGTGTGCTCAACCTGACCTGTAATCCCAGGCGTCGCTGCCAATGCCTGAGGTTCTGGCAGATGACGGGTCCCCCAATCGCTGCGAAAGTGATGGAGAGTCCGCGAGCCGGTGGCAGCACGGTGCGGTCATAGAAGCTAGGCTGACGAAATCGTAAAGCCCGTGCCAAGTACCGCCATCCAGTTTACCGATAATGAACCATCCTGAGGTATCCATGCTCTAACTAAAATCAGAGACTGACGCTGATTGAGACTGATATTAAGCTACAGCGACAAGCCTGTTTCAATTAATGCGAATCCGATGTGTTGTGCATTTTCTCACATAGCACTAGTATCGCTTCCTCAGCGCAATTTTTCTGTCATCATATCAAATCTTCATGGATGACTTCGTCACGGAGGTGGCTGACGTTCCTATGAGCCGTGAGACCAAGCAGGGGCACTTCCAAGAACATCAAGGCGACGATGAAGTTCCCTGGGCCCTCCCCGCGTGCTTGACTGAGCCTGAATTCGCCCTCGATGAGGTGAGAACTTCGGTCGCAATCACACTTGGACCGGTTCAGCGAGCAGGTCGGTACAGCGCAGCTGGAGGCGTGGGCTAAAGAGGCAAAGGATTACGTGCACGCTTTGGAAGCTCGTGTTGCGGAGACACTCGACAAGAGCAGAAGAGAGTTCATTCATACGTAAATCTCCTCGCTTGATTCACTTATTCTGACATGCCACAACTTCAGGGATATTCGGCTGTCCAGTACAATTCAGAAAATTGAGTCGGCCAAGGAGGCTCTGGGCGAGATATCCCATAGGCTTGAGGAAGCTCAGCAGAAGCTGGGCGACGCGAATGTAGGGACGCAGGATTGAGTCACTGAAGCTTGATGCTGTCCTTGCCTCAGTCACGGGTATTGCATTTGAATAGTGAAGTGGCTGCTATGGAGGAAGCTTGTCGCATCAGCGGGCAAGTCGCGAAGGCTCGTCGTAGTCTCGGGAAGGTATTCGAAATGGACGCCCATGGCGAGCCTGGCGATAATATAGATGGAATTCTCGCTAGGTGAGGAGCAGGACTTTGAATATTGATGCAACTTGAGACTCCTCAGGTGCCGCGCGTTGGCAGAAGTGCGTGACTTACTGCAGTCTGTGTCCACGCCCATGGCTCCCAAGAACTGTCCGAAGATCGTCAACGACTGCAATGAACTGTATAGAGAGTATTGGTTTCTGGTGGATACAATGGAGATCTTCAGATACTCGTCGGCCTTCGCATCTATGGTGGAGACTATGAGCTCATCGCTTCGTGGGGGCCCGGTGCTGAAGATCGAAAAATGCAAGTTGTCAAGCACGTGAGTGACTTTCGGGCCTGTTTCTATCCATTAGTATGGTCATGCTCTCAGGACGGCCTGTCCAGAGCTCTGGAAAGGGGCCCGGGTACTCGGCGTAGACTCTGACCTCGTATGCGACGTTGCGGAGGACATAAATTCTAATGTGGGCGAGCCCAGGAGTGAACTCTCGCACGATCGACTGGGGCTTATCTCAGGTGCTCCGAGCACTCCTCAAGCATTCTCATGGTCTGGTGGTGCAGCAGACAGAAGATGAGTGGCATGTGCAATTGAAGAATACAGGGACAGTGCAGTTTAGTGATGTGGCGTCGGCTTTGGAGAGCATGGCTGACTTCATCAGCGCTGCTGTCTTCAGCGGAGGTAAAGCATTCTGCACTCTCGGGCACTAGCTCGCTAGCACGACAAGACTTCGGTTAGACTGAATCGATTGGCTATTTAGATGCTCAGCAGGTGCTAGGAACACTGCGAGCTTCGGTCTAGGCTAACTTATCTGTCACCTGGGAGTGTCGCTCACAACAACTCACTTTCCTCTAGTGCGACAAAGCCTCCGTTGTAGGCGTTCACATTCTGTTCTACTCTCGCCAATCTCGGCATACATTCGTAGCGCCCGCGATCTGCTAGTCACTGCTCTTCTGTCATTTTGATAGAGAGACAGCCCTGGTCCTTGGTGTTGTCAGATTCTGAGGCATTCTTGATCTTCGGTTCCGCGTTGTGGCCAGGGATAGCTCGGCGGCTTCTCCGGTCTGCGAATTTTGACATCTCGACACAAGAGGAGCGTGCACAGAAACTAGAGAAGGAGATGCAGGGCAAAAGCTTCATCAGGCAGCAAATGTGCCCTCTCAAGGTCCGGCTAGGGGCGGCTAGGGCTACGGGCTCGACCACAGTCTCTCTCCTCAGGATGGATTGTCAACTCGTGATGAGGCGGAGCAGAAGGCCGAGAGGTCACGAATCTTGGGACGTGCACGCAAAGAGCTCATTGCCGATACAGTCGAAGGTGTCACCGAGACAGTTGAAGTAGATTCAAAGCAGCTCGAATGTGTAGCATCTCTGGTCTATCCCCGCGAGTTCTATGCCGAACCTCATTTAGCTCGTTACTGGTGGCGCACATGTTTCGAGCATGGCGGCTTCGGAGACATGGTTGGCAACCTGTCCAGATCGAATATCGAAGAGCGTTGAAGTAGGCGTATGTTCATCATACGTCGGGAAAAGAGTCTTCGTGTTCTCTCAGACCTTGTGGAAACTAATTGAAGACAACCCCTCAGAGAAACGCAACCTGATTGACCTGTTCATCGTCCTCAAACGTGATGCTCACAGGGATATCATCGTCAATGATCCGGTCAAGGTGGGGCGCTCCCTCTAAGCATATGGTGTACAGAATGAACTCACTGTAGGCCGGCCTCCTTGTGCTGGACGTGTCGTATTTGAGTGTTCGACTTCTCTTGGATGCTACCAAATCGATGAAGGCGGATCGCCGCGACTCCGGTCTGGACCTGCTCCTTCGGCTCAGAGAGGCTGCTACTGTGGTCTTCGCACAAGCCATAAACAAAGCCTCAGACAATGCTCGGCAAAAACTGCAAAACAGTGAGAAGCCTTCTTTGTCGTTTGGGTTGCCAGTTTCTTTCACAGGCTCTGGATCATGGAAACGCGGATTGCTGAGCTCCGGCGACATGGCGGAGGCCGAGACGGCCCTAGGGGAAGCAGTAGAGTCGTTGAAGAAACTGTCCACGGTGAGCCTCGCCCTGGGTCATATCCCGGATCTAATAATTGTCTGTCTATCCTAGGCATGGACCCGATACCTCCCAGAGCCCCTCAAATTGCCAGCCCTGGCAGTGGCAGCAGATGCCACTCTCAGAGAGCTCGCTGAACTGTAGCACGATGGTTAAGTTCATGTGGTCTACTTCGCCTCGCTTCATTGTTAGATCTGTGCAAGCTCTCGACAAATCATGGCGAATGAACCCCAACAAACAAGACGGCTCAGCAGTTGCAGCTCTATTAGAGTGAGGAAACTCGCTAGTGACTTGACAGTTGGAGCTCATCTTAATCTCAGCTTTCTGTTGGTATCGACGCGAGAAGCCATTTGTCCGGATCCAAAAATTCAACCACCATCCTTCGCCTCCGTGGCCCTCATGAAGGACTGTCTGATGCTCCCATGGGAAGATCTACTCAACCTCTCGGATGATCGCCTGCCAGACGCTGGGACGGTAGGTAGCTCGCTTTGCACCTACCGAGAGCTCTCTTGCAGTCCCTGCTATCTCGTGGATCGCTAGCTCTCTGCATCCGAGCTAATTTCTCTGTCGGAGTGGAGTCCTGGCCCGAGGCTGAGAGTAAAGCAGGCCTATTAGCTGATGCTTGGGGCCGAGGTAAGGGTGTGAAGGAGAACGATAGGAAGATCGAAACCAAGGCCCATAAGAATGCTGACATAACAGGACGGGTAAGGAGGACAGACGTCGTTATGTGTCTGCTGAACGTTTCTCCCATACAGGTATCTCGAGGCGGCGTATTCGCCAGTAGCAACGGTCGATCCCTTTTTGGGTAGCGTGGCCTTGCTATGGTTGCATCACTTTGCCAATCAGAGCCTTGAGTTTTGCGTTGTAATTCTCGAGAATCCAGACACGGGTGTGAACAGGAACAGCCTCTCGAGTTTAAAAACTCTCTTTGCATCGAGCGGGTCAAACTCTTCTCTCTCGGCCTCATGTCACTCACACTTCCATGATGCATCTGAGCTATACGATGCTCACAGCTTTCAGGATGAATTCGGCGAGTAGCGATGATACGGATGCTATCACACGTTCCGAGTTGACCTGTTTAAACGAATGTATGCTTGAGAGCAATCTCGATGAGTTTGTATTGATCAACTTCTAACTCCTCGCTAGAGTCGCGGGAGGTTATGGGCGCCTTCGCTGAACTTACACCATCAAGGCGAGTGTTCGGACGATCCGAAGACAGCGAAAAGATTTTGAAGGCCGCTCATAGTTCAATGTCCCTTGAACGTTAATTAAGGAGCCCACAATAAGACAGCATTGGAACTTCGACATAGTATAGTCCACTGACTCCTTATGTGAGAGCTGAAGCTAAGAAGCTTGAATCTGCAACATGACATATGATCTTGCGTTCAGAATATATCGATCAGAATGTCGTGCGCTATGCAAATTCAAATGTGATGTATGCCTTGGGCCGGGGGAAGTCGTGTGTTGTTCTCGCCCTTCTTTGAACTCTCTCCTGTGGGGTTAATAGTGCCCTCGACTACTTATGTGGTCGTGCTGATGTTCCTGTGGTAGTGCAGGGATCTTAGGATTTTTGTAGACAGGAGAGATTGCCGTTGTTGAGGGCTTTGTGGGAAAGCAACTGTGTTATGAGTTGGAGAATGATTCTGAGCTGGACTCTGGTTTTCATCGATGCCACCTGTGCCGGCAGCCTCCCCTCCCACCTCTCGGCAACGCCTTGTAGCTAGTCTGGTGCACACAGTAAAGGGCCGGGAAACTAAACCAAGGTATACTGGGCTAGCGTGTAGTACAGCTTTCTGTTCACCCAGATGGGCAGAGACGGCTGAGAAGCTCTTTCCGGCTCTGAGTCGCCTTGCACCGTGCTTCCCAAAGCACAAGGAGTTTGTAATAAGTGTGGTATGGGATCAAGCGAAGTGTCGTCGATCAGTTAGACTCGGTTAACTCCAAGGATTTGAAGAAGCCTCATGTGTTCATGGGCGAGGGGGCGCAGGTATTCTGGCGATTACTTACTCCTTGGGTATTTTGTTTTTCAGGAGAAGCTCGGTACATTTTATCTATGCTGTGCGCTGCGGCTGCGCCCACGAGAAGTAGAAGATGCTGGTGACGACAACGCCGCCTTGTTGCGACTGACGCGAGAGGTGAAGCTCTGACACTGTACGATCAGGCTACTGCTTCTCCCAGGTGGCTGAGGAGGAGGTGGAGCCTCTGTTAGCAGAGCTACGAGAGTTTGTGTCAGGTAGTGGGACATGGTGTTGAGCTGAGCTCGTGTGTTATGAAGCCTTTGTAGACTACGACGCCACCTTGCACGAGGCACTAGAGGGCACATCTGTCTACCGGGAGATCTCGGACGACCTCTTCTGGCACCATAATTTCCAGATTGCTTGTCCAGCATTGTACTCTGACCTCCAACAGCAGCTGTCTGAGAATGAGAAGGAGATTGAATATCAAATGGCAAATAGCGATCTCGCTCGCCAAGTATATTCGGCATGGCTGGAAGCATCAGGTATGTACATCTTCGGCATGTGTTCTCTCGCGGTTTCCAGGTCAGCCAGTGAAGGGTGAGATCAGAGCCGCTTTAATTGAGTATGGTCTCCTCGCCGGAAAGCCTGGATACAAGTCGACCAACAGCACTACTGTGGCCGATTCGAATCCAGTGGGTATAGATTTCAAGGGGAAGGAAGCCAGAATTGACTGATCTTGCATGGGAGTAGTTGTTTCTGTTCTTCTCGTGTGTTGCATTGGGGGCAGACGTTCATGATAGCTCACAGTTGACTGGATATTCTTCCACCACTCAACTACTCTTTCTCCTGATTCATCGGCGGTTTTTCGGCACTGTTTCTGTACCTGCACTACTGCGTAAAATGAGCGAATCCTTGGCAGAATTGCAAGCTAAAGTAAGGTCGCTGCCGAGGCTACTCCGCCGCAGCGGTTTTTTTCTTCAGATGAAGGCCCAGGGCGAGAAGGTCCGTCAGATGAAGAAGGACGGTGCCAGCCGCGATGATCTCAAGCCTGAGGTCGACATTCTGACCAGCCTCCGCGCGGACGTTGAGAAGATGATCGAATCTGAGGCTGAATCGAATCCGGCCAACAAGATCAATCGCGCCGGTAGGAAGTCCCCCCCCCCGCCGTCAGTGAGCTGATGAGTCGTTTTATTAGGTCTTGAGGATCTCTGCAAGCGTCGGTTCCTGTTCACACCCTCCTTCTCAATCTACGGAGGTGTTGCTGGTCTCTACGACTTCGGTCCTCCGGGGTGCGCTTTGAAGGCTAACCTTGAGGCCCTCTGGCGTCGCCACTTCATCAACCATGACAACATGCTTGAAATTCAATGTAAGCTGTGATAGTGACCTATACCGTATCGTACTGTGCTACTCAGGCACTTGTCTCACCCCTGAGGTCGTACTGAAGACTAGTGGTCATGTTGAGAAGGTAGGGATATAACATCAGCCCTCACTGTTCGGACTGATGAGATTTCAGTTCACCGATCTTATGGTCAAGAATGAGAAGAATCCCGATGAGTACTATCGGGCTGATAAACTCCTTGAGGAGAAGTGCGAGGCCCTTCTGCAGGAACCTAGTTTCGAGGGTGATCGTGAGCAGGTAGGGAACCGTAGCTCTCAACAATCACTGCGATAACTGTTTCTCTTGCTCAGTTGCAGAAGTGGATACGCGTGGCGGATAGCTTGAGCGCCGAAGAGGTGGATAAGATCTTCCAGGAGCTTGGTATGCTCAATGCGTCCAGCCGGTGGTTGTAATCCCGCCACCGCCGCTCAGGTATCAAGCAGGCGATGAATCTCTCCTTCCCCTACCCCTTCAACCTCATGTTCAAGACTACCATTGGCCCTCAGGGGAACTTGGTAAGTGCGAGGATTATTCAATTGGCTTTGTCGTGGTCTCGTTTAATTCGGAATACATTAGCAACCGCCATTCCCTTGTATGCACTGCACGACACGCCAACATTTTTTTTCTATCATAGGTCGGCTTCCTGCGTCCCGAGACTGCCCAAGGCATGTTCGTCAACTTCCGTCGCCTTCTCGAGCAGAACGGTGGCAAGATGCCGTTTGCTGGTGAGAGCGCACTCGGATGATTTGTCAACAGCATCATTGTGTTCGTTGCAGCTGCTCAAATCGGCCTGGGATTCCGTAACGAGATTGCCCCTCGGGCTGGTCTCCTCCGAGTTCGCGAGTTCCCGATGGCTGAGATTGAGCATTTCGTCCATCCCGATCACAAGGACCACCCCGACTTCCACAAGGTTGCTGATTTGAAGGTGAGTTTTCGCCCGAAGCGTGAATGCTGGCTTTATCCCCTTACCTGCTTTAGTTGCCCCTATTCCCCCAGCACAATCAGCTGACCGATGGCAAGCTTCGTACTGATCTCACCTTGAGACAGGCCGTGGATATTGGTATGATCAACAATGAGGTCGGTCATGCTGCTCGATGGTTTTTACTTCCTATTTTTACTCCCATCAGACTCTCGCATACTTCATGGGCCGCACTTTCCTATTCCTAGTCAAGGCCGGTGTTGACGGCAGTATGCTGAGGTGAGCCTGTCATGGAGTACAAGTGAATCGCGCTCAAGTCGCTGATTAGGTTCCGTCAGCATCTCAAGTCCGAGATGGCTCACTACGCCTGCGATTGCTGGGATGCCGAGGCCCTCCTTTCCTACGGATGGACCGAAATCGTTGGTATCGCTGATCGCTCTGCGTATGATCTT